TATAAGGATAAGGAATGAACAAAAGCTTTATTAAGCAGAATGGGGAACGATCCTATATTTTAGTGGTAAAATAATGACTGAAATGATGATGTGAATTTGTTTTATTTTATTTCTATTTTTGAAACAAACAAAAAAGGGTATAAGATGTTATACAATTAAAATGGTACATGCTATGTGACTGTAAACTGAAGGATGATTTCAGTAAAGACTTAAAGTGCTTACATCGATTATTATGGGTCTTAATTATTAATATTTTATTGTTTGTTGTTTATTTTTAGTTAGACAACCATTGTGTTTAAAACCTAAAGGGTCTATAAAAGGGGTAGTGAAAATAATGGATTAACCATCCAACTTTGTTTATAATAAAAGGATTGGGAAATCATAATTTTATAAATAAAATAAAAACTAGTGCATATATTCTGGTATTCATGATTATAGACAATGTCTTTATTTAGGATCTGAGTAGTGACTGTGGATCTAGCCCATGCTAGTAGGAATACAGCAATAGTGCTTGCTTATTTAGCCTGGCTTCCAGAGAATAAATATGTACTTGTTTCGTAATCAGTTATGTGTTTTATAAAAAATTTAACCTGACTGATAAACTGAGGAAGAATGACATTGATGTCCTGTTGTGAGTGGAAGGTGGGAGAGCCTCTTAATGGGGACTGGAATTTTTAGTATCCAGCATGTCCATGACGAGGTGAAGAGACAAGTGTGACCCGTCAGGGGAGCATGCGTCACCACTCCTCCCTTCCGTAGTGACCTCACTGGTTAGACAAGACGTGGCGGTATTGGACCCCACATTGGTCTAAAACGGGGGACTGAAGGGTTGGTCAAAATCCCTTGCCTCTTCAAATACATATATAATCATATATCATTTTGAATGGTTATATACTTCCTTTATAAAAATCAATAATCAAATATATTCATTATCACATAATAATTTTTATATTCTTTGTGCTTGTGAAATTATATTTTCTTAAATGCATGGATGTAAGTAACCAGTTTCTTTTAGGTGCATTCCAATCTTACTTTGAGATTGCACGTAGTACACGCAGGACACGAAGGCCACGTAACCCACAAGGCCGTTTGTCTCTTTCTCTGGGATCAGTAGAAAGGTTAGAGGGTCCTAAAGGCAACGTGGGCACATATGATTCTTCGCTGGACATATGGTCAAGCTATATTGAGCGTTACTATCAAACTTTAATTGTTGTATTAAAATGTATTCTTTCCAGTATATTTCCTTCCTTGGGAGTAAATGCCAGTGATCTGTTTTTCTCCCAAACGAGTGAATGTTTTAGCAGTATGTTTTGGTATACTTAACTGATAATAAGGAGCTCAGACTCTCTTCAGCCTTGATGGGAGCTGTTATTTGCTAGTGTCTGTTATTTGTGTGTGTGTGCGTATGACATTCTATGTAGGTTCTGGACGGTCGGACCAGACACCCCGGCGCCCTTCTCTAACCTGCGAGGCCACCACAGACCTAAATCCAATGAGTGGACGACAACTATCTTTACTAATGGCGATAGGCACCCCTATCTCCTCACATGTGTTAAATTGTTTAGGCTTTCATGTTTCTTAGCCAATGAGAATCATTCAACCTGTAAGCAATGACGTAGCTTAGACCTTGGAAATGGTATAACTGCTGTGATCTTTGTAACTGTAAGTGGGGCGGCCTACGAACTCCTGTGTGAGTCTTGAAGCTGACTTCTGCTGATGAAAATGCAAACTATCTTCAGTAAAACTTTTCTTTAATTTTTTATAATTCTGACTCCGGGTCTTCATTCTTCATATCTGGTTCTGGGTCTTTGACTGTATACCCCTTACATAATCATCAACGAACACCACTAACCACTCGGTGAGTTGCACAGTTTTGAAAACCAACGTTAAGGGTTGTTTTAAGGACATGTTTGAGCATGTCCATAGACATCCACTCTGAAGTGGTCAGAGGCGATTCTAAAATAGTCAAAAAGTCGAGACAGGACCCATCGTCAACATTTCTAAGTCCACCACTCTAGTTCATCCAAAACAAACTAGAAAATAGACTCAAAGTGTTAAATATCCTTTAAGCAATTTTGTGCGTGGCATGGTTGTTGGTGCCAGACGGGCCGGTCTGAGTATTTCACAATCTGCTCAGTTACTGGGATTTTCACGCACAACCATTTCTAGGGTTTACAAAGAATGGTGTGAAAAGGGAAAAACATCCAGTATGCGGCAGTCCTGTGGGCGAAAATGCCTTGTTGATGCTAGAGGTCAGAGGAGAATGGGCCGACTGATTCAAGCTGATAGAAGAGCAACTTTGACTGAAATAACCACTCGTTACAACCGAGGTATGCAGCAAAGCATTTGTGAAGCCACAACACGCACAACCTTGAGGCGGATGGGCTACAACAGCAGAAGACCCCACTGGGTACCACTCATCTCCACTACAAATAGGAAAAAGAGGCTACAATTTGCAAGAGCTCACCAAAATTGGACAGTTGAAGACTGGAAAAATGTTGCCTGGTCTGATGAGTCTCGATTTCTGTTGAGACATTCAGATGGTAGAGTCAGAATTTGGTGTAAACAGAATGAGAACATGGATCCATCATGCCTTGTTACCACTGTGCAGGCTGGTGGTGGTGGTGTAATGGTGTGGGGGATGTTTTCTTGGCACACTTTAGGCCCCTTAGTGCCAATTGGGCATTGTTTAAATGCCACAGCCTACCTGAGCATTGTTTCTGACCATGTCCATCCCTTTATGGCCACCATGTACCCATCCTCTGATGGCTACTTCCAGCCAGATAATGCACCATGTCACAAAGCTCGAATCATTTCAAATTGGTTTCTTGAACATGACAATGAGTTCACTTTTCTAAAATGGCCCCCAGTCACCAAATCTCAACCCAATAGAGCATCTTTGGGATGTGGTGGAACGGGAGCTTCGTGCCCTGGATGTGCATCCCACAAATCTCCATCAACTGCAAGATGCTATCCTATCAATATGGGCCAACATTTCTAAAGAATGCTTTCAGCACCTTGTTGAATCAATGCCACGTAGAATTAAGGCAGTTCTGAAGGCGAAAGGGGGTCAAACACAGTATTAGTATGGTGTTCCTAATAATCCTTTAGGTGAGTGTATAAATGTAGGTCAATACTTCATGTGCAAGAGGTTTAAAACTTGGGTAACACTTAAGGTTTCATTTGTTGAGAACAAACAATGAACAATTGCTCAACACTTTTTAACCTTAGTTAATGTTGATTTCAGAATTTTCTACATTTTTTAAAACAAAGTTGCATCTTATTTTAATGCACTGTGAACTTAGGAACAATTGTTTTATTAACTAGTATCAACAAAGGTTCATAAAAACTATACAAATATATTGCTCAATTAAGTTCATGTTCACTAATGCATTAACGGAGTTTCCCAACCCTGTTCCTGGAGGCACACTACACATTTTCCAACTCTTCCTAATCGATCACACCTGAATCAACTCATCAGCTCGTTAGTAGAGACTCCAAGACCAGAAATATATGGGTCAGAAAAGGGAGACATCCAAAATGTGCACTGTTGGTGTGCCTCAAGTAGCAGGGTTGGTAAACACTGCATTAACCAATGCAAACACAAATGAGACCCTACAGTAAAGTTTCACCAAAATGTTAAAATAGTGTTTTTTTTTTTTACATTGTAATTTACAGTTGACAAATTGCTATTATGATAAAGTATTACAATCCCATTAGCGTAATAGGTTATTAAAATCACTCAGGTAACAATTTCAGTATATATGGTTATTTGTGAAGCTAAATAAATAATCAAATCCTCAAAAGTAATGATTTAATTTGAATCTGTTGCTTTTACTGCATGCTAAAAGAAATGCAACAGACAGATGTTTACACTTAAAGAAACCTTTAATGAATCATACAGGTCAATATTAAAGGTATTGCTAGGAAATGCAAAAGAGTCTAAACAAATAGTCCAGAAAGATTGATACTGATGGTTTCTTCATTGAAAGATGAAATACTGAAATGCTAGGTTTAATAAGGAGCGTCTCTGCACATGGACCGTAGCCGGTTACAGATGTGCATTAACTTTTAGAAAATAGGAAAAGGGAAATATTTTTATTATTCCACAACACTTCAAAATTAAAAGCTTTAAAAGATAAGTAGACTATAAACAAGTTAAGCTAGAAATCACACAGCACACTTAAAGTGTTCTAAAAAGTAAGATTTTCTGCTGAAGTCCGTCCAGTGGTGACATATCCTTAGTAAAAAGAGAGGGGAAAGGTAATGTATGAATGACAATATTTCCACACACAGAACTAAGAAAACAAAACAGAACTGTTTGAATCAGGTAAGAGTGCTGCTGCCATCTACTGGTGCATCTGTAACTCAGAAGAGCATGAACCATCTAACGCTCCACACTTGCAAAATCTTATTCAAAATCACATACTGTCTGAGTAGGTACCACATTTGAACTTCACGACCGTTAAAAAATAAAAAGTATGTTCTATTTAATATGAATGAAATTCAGACATAGGATATCTTGCAACTCCATAACTGAGGGCGATGCGATAAATCGATGAATAGCCAACAATACATTAAAGCTGTATATGAAGCAGCTACTGATGCGATACACCCCGTGGCCTCATGGGATAGTAAAGTGTCAAGCAAACGCGCACTGCAGAATCTCACCGGTAGTAGTAGGTCATCCAGGGACTTTTCGTCTAAAGTTTCTTGAATATTATGCATTCGGACATACCGGTACCACTCTGTTGGCGTACTGTTTTTCGCATGATACTAATTAGTAGGGAAGCATTCCAATTCGGACGCAGTGTTGGTTTTTTCGGTTAATTAAGTATACCATCTGGGTATTAAAAGTACCCAGTAAGTAAAAGTGTACTTTCTCTTTTTGGAATTTTCAGTGTGAACACTACCCACACTATTTATAATACAAGAAAAGTGCACAAGAATGCAAATTATGATACACCTCTGGTTAAATTTTAGAGTGTTCAAGTGCTTACAGAGTTTCCATGGCAGAGTCCGTGGTGCCCGTAGTCCATCGGATAAACTGATGGTGGTAGATGGCTCTGGCCTAACAAAAACATAAGCACAAATCTCCGTAAAGCAAATATTACACATTTTGCCATTAAAAACACTTCTATACTGGCTTATTGTGTAGAGACAACTGTAAACAAACTATTTCTAGGTTAATTTCTCCAAAAAACAATGCTCCGAAACTGCTTGTTCACCTCAGTTTGTCCAGGATGGTCACAAAAACCCATTAGTGATGCAGCAATAACTGAATGCTTAAAATAATCAACATTTATATGCCCCTTTTTCAATTTGTACAGTACTTGTGGTTAGTGTAAGGAATCAAACTTAAATTCACACCACCTTGAATATATGTGCTAAAGATTTTCAAAACTCCATATAAACCGACTTCTGATGTATAAATGTTGATAGATAGATAAGAAAGAAAGAAAGAAAGAAAGAAAGAAAGAAAGAAAGAAAGAAAGAAAGAAAGAAAGAAAGAAAGAAAGAAAGAAAGAAAGAAAGAAAGAAAGAAAGAAAGAAAGAAAGAAAGAAAGAAAGAAAGAAAGAAAGAAAGAAAGAAAGAAAGAAAGAAAGAAAGAAAGAAAGAAAGAAAGAAAGAAAAAGGACTCACTTGTTTTGAGCAAGCTGGTTGTTGGATTCACCCCAGACAAACATGGCAGCATTATCATCAGTCTCTGCAATCACATGCCCCCCAAAAAATGAATCCAGAAAGTGGTGATTTATTCATTTGAACCAAAACCAAACACATAATTCAGAAACCATACACAGTAAATAAGGCAGAGTGGCAATGCCAAAAAGTAGAAATACAGTAGAGACCTAGTATAAGAACACAAATGCTTAAAAAAAAAAAAATATGGTATGTCACAGACCTGTTTCCCAGTCCTCATTAGGTGAAGGGTTTGTGCAGGTGTTAACGGGCACCTGGAACTTCTCCAGGACCTCTATATTCCCTGGACAAAAAAATTATAATTTTTACAAAACGTGTATTAATGCATTCAAAGCCAAGATCACAGATTATTTAAATTTTAACAGCTTTATAAAAAAAAAAAATTAAAAAAATGATTTCACCATTTCATTTCAGTTTAATCTATTAATTCATTAAAACAGCATGCACAATAATAAAGTTTCCAAAAAAGTCACATTGCATGACATTTAAATTACCTGCCAGATATTCCTCATTCAAGTTTAATTTGTAATGTTTAAGTTACTAATCTCTGTTGCAACTTTAAATGGACTACCACATTTTTCAATGAATTACATTTCAACAAGAGTAATTTAAAGGGATAGTTCACCCAAAAATAAATTACTCTCTCTCATGTTGTTCCAAACCCGTAAGACTTTCGTTCATCTTTGGAACACAAATTTAAATATTTTGATGAAATCTGAGAGCTTTTTGTCCCTCCTTTGACAGCTACTACACAACTACTACGACACTTAAATTTCATAAAGGGATTGTAAAACTAATCCGTATGAATTGAGCAGTTTAGTCCAAATATTCTGGAGACTCGATCGCTTTATATGATGAACAGATTAAATTTAGGCTTTTTACATTTAAACCATGATCAGAGAACAAACATATGCTCAACCGAACCAGCTTGAAGCGCAAGAACAAACCTCATTTGTTCTTACTGAAGCTCAAATGTGCAGCGTAACACGAGAATGAACCTCATTGGTTCTCACACGTCAAGCGAACATGCTTGAGCTTCCGTTTCCCACAACTGATGTGGGAGTTGATGAATGTTTATATGTGAATAGCATAAATTCAATCTGTTCATCATATAAATATGTCGTGTCTCTTCAGAATATTTGGACTAAACCACTCAATTCATATGGATTAGTTTTACAATCTCTTTATGAACTTTTTTAAGTGTCAAAGTAGTAGTTGTGTAGCAGTCAATGGAGGGACAGAAAGGTCGTAAATTACATTAAAAAAGGATATTCATTCGTGTTCCGAAGATGAACGAAAGTCTTACTGGTTTGGAACGACATGGTCACATTCACACATGCAACACTAACCCTCTTCAGCGTTCAGAGACCTCTTGTCCTCACAGTTTGTTATGTGATGAGACAACTCATGCCTGGGAATCAAGTGTCTGGCATTGAAGGGGCAGGTCTTTAGCTCACTGGCAAGTTTGGGGTGGTTCTGAAACAGATTAAGTAGACATATAAAGTTAAAACAAACCAAGGCAGCAGTATTTTCACAATTTAAATAAATGCATGAAACAAATTAAGAACTTTTCCCCTGCCATTACCGACCTTTCTGCACTTGAGAACATGATACGGGAAGCGAGATGCTCTGATCTGGTGGTTTTTGTCATATGGGCACTGCACAATCCTGTTGGGGTCAGCATCATCAGTGAGAGCGTCTTCACCATAAGCTTTGGAAACAAGATGCGCCATCAAATGCAATATAGAAACTGTACTTATTTGCTTCCAAAAGAAGCAGATGATCAATTTTGATAAATTGCTGAATGTGACTTAACAGCATTTACATGGACAGCAATAATCTAATTATTTACCTTATTCTGAATAAGACAATATTCTGATAAAGGTGTTTACATGAGCTGCTTTTAGAATAATCCTTTCATGTTCCCGTTTTACATGTTATAACCATAGACTATAAAAAAAAAAAAAGGTTATAACATAGATAGATTAACGCCACGTCATTACGTCACCATGCCACGCCGGCCGATGTTGCCTCCGTAATACCATTTACAGTTTTGGGTGTTTTATATTTTTATTATTTTACGAAAGCTTCAAGTGCAGTTAATTATTTGTCATGCTATACGTGCAAATAGGCGAGGGCGAATACAATTCTGAAGCCATGCTCGTTTGCCGTCAAACGGTTGACCACTGCCGTGCTTGTATGTCCTGCCACCAAATGCGGCGAAAACTCACACACGAATTTTAATAGTGTGACGGTGTATATGCGTATAATACACTTCGATAATGCGAGTTGCGACTAAAATGTGAATACTCAACATGTCTTAATTCGATGAGTGTTTACTTCGACTATAACTTCAGCCGGATTGATGTAATCAGAAATAACATCGGAATATTGTTTTCCATGTAAACGTAGCGATAGCAAGTCCAACTATTAAATTACCACTCTGTTCATTCCAGCTGTTCGGTTGATTTTCAGAGTTTACTCCAGACGGACCGACGGTACTTCCGAATCTAATAGTGGCCATGCTTGCTTCCTCTGGAGGTCTGGGTGGTTGTGGCCTTGCGTCTTTCGTTCCGTTAGCTCTGATAAAATGGCACCTTAAATGAAACACGCCAAATGTACAATTAAAACAACAGCAAAGATCAGTAGAAAAGCGGCACGTGCACTGAACAGGACGATCAAGCCACTTGAGAAAAAGCGAGGCCAAAAGTCATGGAATTTCAAACAAAAACATTCGGATTAAAAACAAATTCACAACTGGAAATACTTTCGCGGTCTAAAGGCACTTAATTTACAACTTTTTCTGTAGTCTGAGGGATTGCGTGTGCACGCGTGCTCACCTGCCTATCTGCTGCCTGCAATCAATTGAGATTGTCAATGCTCTAACGTTACCTATAAGCCTTAATTTGTTTCGTCATTATTGTATTATTCTCATTATTGTGTACTATAGTCAATACTGTATTTCCAAATTCAGACATGAAACAAACAAAAAATATACCTAAACGGCTTTATATAAAATAAAATAAAACAATTAAACTATTAAATTAAGTTAAATTAGATGGCTACAAATGGGAGAATATATTTTTTTTTACTGTGGTGAGTTATTTTTCAAAAAGTATTACCTTATTAATCTGTAATAAAGATATTGGTTATCATTAGGCTACGTTGTAAGTAATAGACCTCATTAGTGTGCTTGTAATTTTTGCTCAGTTTTGTCAACGCCAAAAAAAAAAAAAAAAACGTGGTGCGCATTGGTTACTGTTTATGTGGTTATTGCAGCAGCCAATCACAGTCCCGCGCCCGCATTCCATTCTCTGAAGACACGCCCACGTGGAACTGTCAGCTGCTCAGTACAAGATGGCGCTGTCCTGTAGAGGGGTATGCCGCGGGGCTTCTGTGATCTTACTGTATGGAAAACAACCTGTCAGGGTTAAAGCAAGTCTCTGCACACCTAGATTGGCTTCCACAAAATCCAGGTACTATTTAATATAAATTCCTAAAAATTATAGTGTATAGGCATCGATCATTTGTAGGCAAATTCCCTTAGCGAGGAGAGTTTGCATATAGATTAGTCGTTATAAAATGAGTCTGACTATGATAAATAGTACTAGACAACATGAAGTATTCTCATTGTCTATTCTCCCTTTAGTTTTTGTAGAAATAGAAAAAAAATGTATTGTGTTAATCAGGAAATACAGTACATGCCCTGCCCTGTTGTGACAGCAACACAGCATCTTTTATTATCTATTTTATTTTTATTTATTTCTGTCTGACTGGCTGTCTGTCTAGTAGTTTGTGGTTTGTTAGACACTACTCACCTTCACAAGCAAGACATGGGATTGGTCGAAGCATTGTGTCCAGGCTGAAGTGGGTCAATGAGAAGTATGAGAGATTCTTGCAGCGGCGCTTTCCTCGCTTTTATGCCCTCTATCACACTTTTATGAAAGGTATATTTAAAATTAGTACTATTTATTATTATTAAACCTTAAACCATCTCCGGAAGATGTGTTATGATATAGGTTTTGTGTTTTTTGTATAAAGGGTTCCGGCTCCTGTTTCAAGATGCTCAAGAAGTGAGAAGAATCGTGACTCGCATGTTCAGTGACAGCGTAGAGCACCAGAATGTGCCTTACCGTGATATGGAGAAACTCAGGCAGGTGGGTTGAAGAACTGAAGCAGACATTTACGGGATATATTAATGTCATAAAAGCTTTATTAAAATGTAATTTTTTGTGTGTTGCTTTCAGGTCCGCAGGGACTTAATCAAAGCCATTCCCTTGGTCATCATATCAATACCTCCTTTTGCCAACTATCTGGTCTTTATCCTTATGTGAGTATTTATTATGCTACACTGCTGACTATTCTGTGTTTTTTGAAGTATTTCTGTATCTTTGATACTGATTGATGAATATTGAGTATTTATTATCTGTCACTCTTCCATTCATTGATGCAAATCCATTCATCCTCAGGGATGTGAAGAGTGTAAATCCAAGGGAAAAATGGATGTGTTTTAAAATAAATGTATTCTCATTAATAAATACTTTTAAAATGTAATAAAATATTTGAAAAATAAAAATAGTTTGTTGTTATAATTATTAAATACTCTGCTCTTTATTTTACAGTATTATTGCAATAGTAATATTTCTTTATTGATTTGTTTAATGTTTAACATTTTAATAAGAGAATAAAAATATTTGTAATAGTAATGTTTATTATTATAATAATTATTAAATATTCTGCTTTTTATTTTATAGTATTATTGCAGTGTAATATTTCTTTATTGTTTTTTTATTTTATTTGAAAGAAATAATTAAAGAAAATGATTCTGAATAATAATAATAATAACAATAGTTTTGATTATTTTTGTTGTTGTATAGCCATATTGAATGGAGGGTGATGTTTTGCTTCTGTTTTCCTCCACAATTCTGCCCTCTAGGTACTTCTATCCTCGCCAGCTTCTGATCCGGCACTTCTGGACCCCACAGCAGCTGGTGGAGTTCCAGGGGGTGTACCACACCCAGAGAGCACAGCACCACTGGGCTATAGTAAAGGGGCTGGAGAGCACGTCCACTTCTGTCCAAGACAGCCGACTTAAAAGCCGCCTCATGGAGCTCTGCAGTAAGGTAGCCTGAGCTAATTCATGATATTACTTATGTGTATAATTATAGCCTTTTTTTAGTTGTTTTATTCAGATGTTGAATTTTTAATAAATATAAATGTGTCTGCAGGTGCGACATGGAGTCCATCCTGTAGTGTCTGATGTCCATGCAGTGAGAACATTGTTCTCCGGACCTCCCTTAGGTATCAAGAAAATGTATGCAGATCAGATGGTGAGCTCCAAATAATCAGCCAGCTGCACAATGAATTGCATTTTAAAAGTTTGTTACTTGTTTAAAATAAATGTATGTTATAAATCTTATTGTGAACAATTCATCTGTGCATGTTTCATTCATCCAGTCAACTGGACCTTCAGGTGAAAACGAAAGACTTCTCTCTGGTGACATTTGCAGGACCTCCCCACACCTTTAGGGGGCGTTTAGACGACTCATTTTCAACTAAAAACGGAAAACTTTTTATGCGTTTTGGCCGTTCAATTACACGACAATGGTGTTCTTGGGGCCTGAAAACGCAAGTTTTTAAAAACAACACCATTATCGTCTCCATGTAAACTACAAAAACATGAATTTGTGAAAACGGTGACGTCATGCGAATGCATATTATGTGTTCAGTCTATTGGCGCGTAGTTTTGTGAAAACGGTGACGTCATGCGAATGCATATTATGTGTTCAGTCTATTGGCGCGTAGTTTCTTTACAAGGCAACATCCACAAATACTGGCCTGTCATGCTTAATACAGCGTTGTTTGTCGTTTTTTGCGGATCCGCGTGAACGGGGATCCTTTTGACAATGTTGTTGTCTGTACGCAAAAAAAAATAAAAAAATGCAAAGGAAACTTTTCCGTTTTTAGTACATCGTTGTCATGTACATGTACCCTTAGTCCGCTTAAACCCCTCCTCTGCTAGCTTACGTTTATCTGCCTCAAAATCCAATCAACAACGATGCATAAAACCTAGTCCCTCCCTACCTTTTTTCGATAATCCGTTACACTTAGATGTACGCCACAAAATGGAAGAAAAGTTCTGTCACTACTGTACTATTCATCATGACTTAAAAATGTCTTTAAAATGTAAAGAAAAACAAAAATTAGGATTGCTTCCTAATCTAGTTGTCTAATAAACCTGACTGAATATTACATTGGCTCTTTGACAAATTGCTTTTGTTCCTTTTTAAAGTCTGCTAAATGCAAACATATAAATATATTTGCAGAGACACCTCTGTCCATTGCTGTTCCTGACGCCCCGCCTCCCAGCCTTCTGGATTGGTCAACGCTTGAACAGTCATGCCTTAGAACTCATGCAGCTTGACCGCAGCATCGTTCAATTAGGCTTGCATCAGTTAAACGACACAGAGCTCAGAGAGGTCAGAGGTCGCTCCTTATTTTGCCCATTACATTCTGTCAGCAGCCTTTATTTTGTGATTTTTGAAAGATAATGTGTCACTTTTACGTCACGTCTCCTAGGCATGTTACGTGAGAGGGCTGAATCCAGAGCTTCTGAGTCCCGCACAGTGCCGGGAATGGCTCACACAGTGGTTGCAGTTCTCAACACACCTCAAAGGTACGTAGTCCATGAAATCAAGGCTATGTTTAGAAGAGAGTGCTAGCATACTACGCTTATATTGCGTTCATATATATATATATTATTGCGTTCAACATTTTACTAGCTGCTCACATCCTCAGATTATTGTTTCTATGTTAACACCACACAAAATGAATGTGTAATTTGAGTACAGACAAAAGCACAATAAAACAAGTAACAATTGTTATGCAAATGCTTATTAATAAACATTAAAAGTTTAAGTTAGTTATCTAACTCTGTTCTAGCTACATCAAACTGTATTGTATGTCTTTCAATTATTTTTAGATTAATCTTGCATTTGTAAGACATTATCAAGTCAATTAAAGCAATTATTAAACAGAAGTTTACTTTACTACTAAACTACATTTTTCTGCTGAAGCCACCACATGACTTTTTCAGTGGTCAGGTGGTACAATTTGGGGAACACTTTACAAATCTGAATCTCGTAATTCCGACATGGTGTGAATGCAAGATTACCATTTATGCAGTGTGTATACTGTGCACTGTATGTAAATTTGCTAGTATGCAATAACCATTTGACAAAATGTCTAGTTTACAACACAGTGCATTGCCCTGGATACTGTATCCCACAATGCAATGCAGTGTGATGAATGAATCATATTTTGACATGACAATTTTGTCGCACATTCATTGTGGCATTGCATTTACTTCCTGTTTGATCAGAGTCAGAGACCTCCCTCTATCTGCACTGTATGGTACTGCTCACTGTAAACTACCCTAAACACCCACGTCACTGACCTCGAGAGGAAGCAGACGACTCCACCACCACACCCAAAATGCACCATGGGAACAAAATAATCTTGTATGCAAATTGAAGCAGCGCAACACAAGCTTTATTATACCAGTCCTTTGGCTTTATGTTATGTTACTTTTGTAATCAAGGGAATTTTATGTTTCTGAATAATTCTTTTTTAAATGTTGTGCTTTAAATTAGTTTTTTGGAGATTTTGTTTACTTGAGTGAGGAACAGACAGGAGAGACATTGTCATTGAAAGATGCCATTGAGATTCTGTAATTTGTGGAATAATTTCATTAATTTTTCTTCCATAGAGACAGGGTGACAAATACACTCCAAAACAATACACTGACACTGTGAGAGAGGTTTTAACCACGAGACAAAAAGCACACTGAACATGTGCCAAATGCATCCATTTGGAATTAAACCTCATTGGTCTTGAGACATTCATTCTAAATATAGTTGTTCGTGGAGCACAATCATTTGTGAATTGTTTTGTGGCATTTTGTATACGTTTAAAATCAGCACTGAACCAAGGACAAGTATCACCTATCTTGTTCATTTTTCTGGTGTATTAGTAAGACAAACAATCACTATTGGGATGTTTAATATGTAAAGCAACCCAGTTTTTATGGTTTAAATCTGATGGAAAAACTGGAAAGAGGTTTACAAAGCCTGGATACTGGAGATAAGTGTATTCTTTAATATATTAAGCTAAGTTCTATAATGCAGCATATACTCATTTTAATTAAGTTTATGTTAATATTTATTTTTGAATCCCAAAATTATACAAAGATTATTGCACCTTGTTATTTGTTCTATCCAATAAGAAGTTGTTTGCTGTGTGCACTGGGCTGTTTGGTCAAAGCATTAAAGTTATGCTAAATATGTTTTGTCAGATTCTAAAATGATCTTCTTATTCAGCCTTTTAACAGGTGCCTTTTTACTTAAGAACACAGCTATAAACATGGTGCAATACATGCTGTTATCTTTTTATGTTGCCAAATGTGTTGCATTATTTTGTATTTTATATATAAATAGAATGCTGTTTGGTTCAGTGTTAACATGTCACTGAAAACTATGATAGTACAGTCAACGCAACGTGAAAATATCAGAACTTCTATTAAAAGACTTCAAACTTAATAGTGTCTGTTTGCATCCCTTAGCAACCTAGCATTGATTCACCAACTACAGTAGTAACAAATATTAGTAACTCAAATATAACAGATGAACTTAAATGGGACAAACTTGTTAAGAACATTTCATTCTTTTATTTGACAATGTTCTGTAAATGTATAAAATTTGGCATTTCAGTAATTCATTGTTGTCCTGTTACCCAAAGGAATGTCAACATGGTAGTAAAGACAGAATACTTAAGAATAAATCAGACTTAACAGGAGACTAATCTACTGGATTAGTCATAGAAAAATATATCATAGATATTTCATTCTCAGTGAAAATGTGTATTGTCAATTTACACAGAAAGAGGGAAAATAATTAGCATTTATATAATGGTAAAAAAAAAAAAACTGAATAGTCTCTAAGAGCTTTAAGTGACTGGACGTGATCACATGACCTCATAGCCGCTGCGGATGGCTTGCATCAGAATGCAGGCCAACACAATCCCCGTGATCTACAAAAAAACAAAACAAATGTATTAGTGTACGAAGAGGGGGAGTTTGCACTGACATTCTTGTGTGCAGACAACAGGTAAAACAATATTGCAGGTCTCACCTGCACAAACGCAACGACCAGAGCTCCCACAGCAAACCACAAAATATTTTCCTTTAGAAGTTTCTCCAAAATGAGATTACATCCCTGTATTAAACAAACACAAAGTCTTAGTCTCTAGTGTCTCACATGTTCTGTCCAATAAACATTTTGAACGCGTTATTAAAAAACAAAAACTTGACAACACCAAGTCTAATGTTTTTAGACTTTGTGAAAATGTCACAGTACAGAAGAGTCAGGAAGCCAAAACCTAGTGCACTATTTCAATAATAAAGAACAAAAGAGTTTCTTACATCTGTGTAGATTTTTTTGGCATCGTGAATAGCTCCAATACCACAGTCCTTGGTGACATTTATACAGCAGGAGTCTGGGACCGTTGTGTGAGAGCTGGTGAAGTTCACCCAATCTTGAGAGGAGTTTCCTCCACAGCACTTGAACTATAAGAAAGACAAATTAATATTCAATTAAATTAAAATACACTGTCTGGTGTATATATATATATATATATATGTATATGTATGTGTGTGTGTGTATAAAAAAGAGCTGATTGTTTTAATGGCAAAACGTAATTAGTTTAATCTATTTGACAGCCCTAAATTAAATTACAACACAGAAACAAATAAACACATAATTTTACATAGAGTGAATCCATTAATAAATTTCCCCTTCAAAAGCAGAGATCACCTAAAGAGAGCATATGATCCAGCAGAATGGATTCACTGTAGGGCTGTCAACTTTAGTCGTTAAGTCGACTAATCGGTCGATGCCGTCTTGGTCGACTGACATTCTAATTGGTCGACCAGTTGCATTTTTTTTTTTTTTTTTTTTTTTTTTTTTACCAATTGAAAGACATTTTCATTGATTTACTCCTTGATATTTATTCCCTTATAAGCGGCTATATATTACTGTATTCTAAATATGATTAGCCTATGTTTTATCCCCAACTTTTAAATGCTGTAATTTAGGCTATTTTGTAACAGCGCCACAGTTTAGCGCACCACGTAGAACACTCGGGAACCGCACCTGTGGCTGGCTGCACTGCTGCTGCGGCGCGGACGCACTTGGAACAAACGAGCGCGTCGCACCGCGACCGCGTCGCTCCCATTATGAGCGCGCATACCGCGCGCCTACATTTGAAATAATGAACTTGAGCGCGCAAAAGACGCGATATGTGAGCAGGCCCTTTAATGGCTTTATTATGCTGACTCAATAGATTGTGTTTTCTTATGTTTTTGTTTTTATTTGTACACTTGACGCGTTTGAAAATAGCCTAAATAATGTAACAACGAAAATAAACCTATATGCCTTCCTACTATACAGCCTACTATTATTATGATTGTTTTTAGGCTATTTGGGTTTTTTGTGTGTTTGTTTTAAAACGCCTAGATCGGCTGGACAAAAGTTAACCCATAGCTTTGAAAGTAAAGAAGAATAGACAGCCTGTATAAACGAGAGCTTTTGTTAGGATTTGTCATTATTTGGCAGTTTTAGCAGTTATATTTTTTGTAGCGTGTGGTGTGGTCAGGTGCGCGATTGTGACTGTCACTATAGACCTAGGACAGAGCTCCCCACTTTGCAGTTAAAAAATCACTTAATTTTCAAAGAATTGTATTATTATTGTAGTTTTATGTATTATTGATGTTTTTTCGTTGTTGTTTTATAAATGCTCTATGACAATTGTTTAATAAATGTTCAATCAAAATGCAAAACATCGCGTCTTTTTTTTTTTTTTTTTTGACTGATCGTTGCGCAGGACAGGACTTTGGTCGACTAAGGATTTCTTTGGTTGACTACAGCCCTAATTCACTGAACTAAAAACCATAGAAAAATTTAGAGAGCAAGTACACCACAGGGTCTGAACTGAAGTTTAGCCACATGACGGCACAAGAGGAAGCAGGATGTCAGTTTAATGTCAACAGATGGCACTAAGCAAACAAGGCTGGAGAGACTCGAGACACACGTCATTCACGTGAAAATGGAAATCAGAGCAGGATCACAGGCCTTGTTCAGACAAGCAGATTTGATAGATTTGAGTTTACCAACCTGCTTCTGTATAGCATCGACGGCGTCACGGTCTTCTTTGGTTTTGTTGTATTCTGTGATCATGACCTTGAAGCCTTTCTCCAGAGTAGCAGGCAGCTGCAGAAAAACAGAGATTATTAGGAGCCAAATGGTACTGGAAAACAGGTTGATAGTAATAAAGTAGAAATTAGAAGAGTACTCACTTTCCCGCCCAAGACATATCCAGCGATGGCGGTTCCAATTTCAATGATGACGATGAGGGAGAGAAGAACAGCAAACTAGGAGAAAACAAAGAGAGGAGAATGATAAAAGTGAGGAATGACAAGTCAAGAAATTACATCTTAAAGAATTGAATGTTTTTATTCAGAGCTGGTCAGTGTTGGGTCAAACCAGTTCATTCAACGGTTTTCCATTTCAGTCAAATATGTAGATACATATCTAATCTTCAAATTAAGTGTTGTGTAAGAAGGAATCTGGTTTAACCTGTTGGCAATATGTGACCATGTCAACAGCATTAACAGACAGACAGCAGCTTTACAGCAGTCAGCATTTAAACAAAAGCATCAGCAGCAACTTAGTGGAAATTTAGCCTAGATGTTGTTTATATGTGTACTAAATTACTTGGGCAATGCTACATGTGCTGCACCATTAAACTTAGTTACAACATAACCCCACATATAAACTTAATATTTCAGTAGTTGACATATACACTCCTATACATTTACTTGTCATTGGTTGCAGTTCCATGAAAATTCTCATTTTCACTACCGCAATGCATGCCAGATTTGAATAACAAAATATATATTTGACAATTTGCACATTACTAGTATTTATTGCATTAGTATTATCCATTATTAGTTTTATTTATTGCTCCTGATTATTTTAAAATGCACTTCCTGAATCTTTATCATCTTTACATATTTAAATGTATTATACAATAAAATATGGAAATAATTAAATCAGTAATAGATCAAAATAAATAATAATAGTAATAATAGACAAATTGGAAATATTTATTTTAAATTAATCTTTTTGTTAATACTTTTGATAAAATCTGGAAAAATGGGGGGAATGCATATATATTTATATATATATATATATATATATATATATGTGTGTGTGTGCATATATATATATATATATATATATATATATATATATATATATATATATATATATATATATATAAAAAAATTAGCATATTGTGATAAAGTTCATTATTTTCCATAATGTAATGATTAAAATTAAACTTTCATATTTTAGATTCATTGCACACCAACTGAAATATTTCAGGTCTTTTATTGTTTTTATACTGATGATTTTGGCATACAGCTCATGAAAACCCCAAATTCCTCTCTAAAAAAATTAGCATATTTCATCCGACCAATAAAAGAAGTGTTTTTAATACAAAAAAAGTCAACCTTCAAATAATTATGTTCAGTTATGCACTCAATACTTGGTCGGGAATCCTTTTGCAGAAATGACTGCTTCAATGCGGCGTGGCATGGAGGCAATCAGCCAGTGGCACTGCTGAGGTGTTATGGAGGCCCAGGATGCTTCGATAGCGGCCTTAAGCTCATCCAGAGTGTTGGGTCTTGCGTCTCTCAACTTTCTCTTCACAATATCCCACAGATTCTCTATGGGGTTCAGGTCAGGAGAGTTGGCAGGCCAATTGAGCACAGTAATACCATGGTCAGTAAACCATTTACCAGTGGTTTTGGCACTGTGAGCAGGTGCCAGGTCGGGCTGAAAAATGAAATCTTCATCTCCATAAAGCTTTTCAGCAGATGGAAGCATGAAGTGCTCCAAAATCTCCTGATAGCTAGCTGCATTGACCCTGCCCTTGATAAAACACAGTGGACCAACACCAGAAGCTGACATGGCACCCCAGACCATCACTGACTGTGGGTACTTGACACTGGACTTCAGTCATTTTGGCATTTCCTTCTCCCCAGTCTTCCTCCAGACTCTGGCACCTTGATTTCCGAATGACATGCAAAATTTGCTTTCATCCGAAAAAAGTACTTTGGACTACTGAGCAACAGTCCAGTGCTGCTTCTCTGTAACCCAGGTCAGGCGCTTCTGCCACTGTTTTGATACAGCACTCTGGGAACAGCCTATTTGTTCAGAAATTTCTTTCTGTGTCTTACCCTCTTGCTTGAGGGTGCCAATGATGGCCTTCTGGACAGCAGTCAGGTCGGCAGTCTTACCCATGATTGCGGTTTTGAGTAATGAAACAGGCTGGGAGTTTTTAAAAGCCTCAGGAATCTTTTGCAGGTGTTTAGAGTTAATTAGTTGATTCAGATGATTAGGTTAATAGCTCGTTTAGAGACCCTTTTCATGATATGCTAATTTTTTGAGATAGGAATTTGGGGTTTTCATGAGCTGTATGCCAAAATCATCAGTATTAAAACAATAAAAGACCTGAAATATTTCAGTTGGTGTGCAATGAATCTAAGATATATGAAAGTTTAATTTTTATAATTACATTATGGAAAATAATGAACTATCACAATATGCTAATTTTTTGGAGAAGGACCTGTATATAAATAAAAATATCCCCATTCAAATTAGATTACATCATTTATTACAGAAATGTTGCTCCCACATGAGGTAAATTAGATGAAAACAAACCTAACAAGTTAAAACTGAAGTGAATGACCTGCTATTTGCATTTTTAAATAGACTTCTTATTGGATTATCAATAAAGGTAAATGTCATGTCATACTATGTGACTAAGCATTTGTTTATGAAGAGCTTACACCTACTAGTTAAGCATTAAGAATAAATGGTGCAAACAAATTAAGTATCCCCTAGTGTGAAGACCTTACAAATGGCTGAAGCAACCCTACCCAGTAGACCATTTCCTTTATCTTAGCGAAATAGTCTGAACAATGATCCTTACCACGGTGATCATGCACTGACTCTCCTTCCAGGCCCCACAGCAGCCAAAGAATGCGATGAAGAAGATGATGACTCCCACTATTATCAGCACTAGAGGAGAGCCAGAGTATTCTTTGATTATGGCAGTGTTGAGGAATGAAACGTGGACCAATGTCCCCAGAACTATTAAGGCCAGGCCACACAGCTGGGGATGAGAGACAGGGAGAGAATGGAAAAGTCAGTGTGAAAAACAGTGAACAAAAACCACATCATGTATTTGCATTCTCAAATTACCCAATTATTAAAATGACCAATTCTGATGGCCTATTCAATGGCTCCCTACCCTGGAGTACATTTTTGATGTCTCTCTTATCTGTAACACCCATTTAAGGTGTTGGAGCAAGCCTCCAAAGTTAGCAAAAACAGCTTATTTAATGAATCGACAAGCCTATCAGCTAATCTTCAACATGTTTGCCATTAAACATTTGTTTTCGATTGATCTATTTTTAGAGTGTACAGTACACCGAAAAAAATTGCTATTTTATAAGAGGAGTCACTTCTCTTTCATTCATATCCACAAACAGTGATTGACTGTCGCACAACTCTGAAAGAAATTCAATGATGTCAGGGCTGTTATGTGATTGGTTATTAAGGCACACATGATCCAAGTTGGCCGTTACGCTTTCTCCAGAGCCATAGAGAGAAAGAGTTGCGACACGCTTTCATGCAAGCCCCAATAGTTCCAAAACATATGCGGGCTGTCATGTTCTTCTATGGACAGACAGCAGCGATTGCATTATTAAACGGTAAATATAAAATAAAACACACACCCAAGTACTTTTTAAGCTGTTATTGCATTTTGTTAATGTCAGTTTTGCATTTGGATAGACAGGGTGACAACTTAGATAAGTTTTAGGCTATATTTTGAGGGAAAAGCTTAGGCTATATTTTTGGAGGGAAAAGCTTAGTGTTCATGTTCGCATGGGTAGTAGCACTGGATTTAGCGGCTCTAACTAAACATTTCCATGTCATTCATCTGATGATGGACGTCTCATGATATTTATTTTAGCACACCTGTATTAGGCTATTGATTCCCGTGATCTTGCTTATAAATTCCGATTCAGCCATTAGCCTACCTCCGTGATCACGCAAAGAGGTCTGCAGTCCGTTCAGAACTCCATACAATATAAATAATTACGCTGTGCATGTACAAATGAATGATTTAGGAGGGAAATAGACTGCTCCCATAACGTAGAAAGCAACGACTATATACAGCAATGTTCGGTAAATATTCAACCGAAAAATATTCTTCATACAATTAAACCGGAGAGATAGTTAATGAGGGATGGGAATTGATAAGATTTTATCAATATCAATGCCACTAACGATTCTGCTTATCGATCCGATTCTTTAACGATTCTCTTATCGATTCCTGATAGCACTGTGTGGGAAAAAGTAGTCATATGCTTTTTCGGGGGGAAAAACAAGTGGTTTTATTTGTTTTAAAGCTACACTTGACTAAGCAAACTGTACTTTTTATGTAATTTATGTAATAAATGGAACCTTTTTGTAAAGTGTTACCGATTAGTTACACCGATTAAACGTCCCGTGAGTTCAGTGTTGGAAAGATCAGTTGTTTTAGCCATTCATTAAAACGAATCGGTTCAAATGAGTCATTAGTTCGCGAATTGGACGTGTCATTATCGGACGTGTGCGCGTTGTGTGATTATCCCAGCGGTTGGGACATCCCACAAGATGTGTGTCATCACAGAAAACATTTCATCACTGGTTCGTTTTTTTCGTTTATTTGAAGTGTGGTTTATGTCAGCTGAATGTGCGGAACGCTTTTCAGAGAAGATAAGGCAACGTATTTTAGTACAATTCACACCCAGCGGTAATTCAGGAAAAACAAATCTCCGAATGCTCCACATGAAACTTTAGTCTCCCGACCTTACCATCGTGTCATTTATTTTGATTAATATGTGCGAGGGAGAGAGAGCAAGAGAGCGCTTAGTTTTGAGACGGTGAAGCCTACTTTCGCCTTGCTCCGAAGAGAGAGAGAGTGCGCGCGCGCGACCGGGGCTCTCTCTCTCTGCTCGTTCAGTTTAACATGCGCCCTGTCACAAACGCAGCGGTTCATCTACATTACCAGAGAGAGACAATTTTACTCACCGATCAAATAAGGCTTTGGCGGTACAAAAATTCGCCTTGGACGCCGTGCTATGGTGCTTGATAAAGGACAAAATGGACAGTTGTGAGTTCACGGTCTGTAGCCTACATACGGCTGACTCAGAGCAGCATCGATAAGAGGACTCGTTAACGTCGAGGGCATACAATATCGATGGATCGTAAAACTTAGAACCGGTTTTCAATTCCCATCCCTATTAATGAGTGAATTAATTATGTTCCTAAATACATAAGCACATATATGCATAACCCTAACCCATTTAAATAAATTAATTGTGTGTGTGTGTGTGTATATATAATATTATATATAGGCTTTATATATATATATATATATATACACACACATACATATAAAATATTATTAAAAATATTATATATTATATACATCAGGTTACCGTAAGTTAGCTAACGTTAGGGAAGTGTTGGTCACGTAAGCTATCGCTGCAATTAACCTATTATCTTCCAATAAACATTTACTAAAACTGGCTACATAAAATATAACAACAGACTAGATTCACGAGAGGTCGGCTAATGTGTGTAAAAGTAAAAAAAAAAAAAACAGTAATTTCATTAATTTACCAGCGAGCGTACTTCGGAAGCACTGAAAATCTAATGGGGTTCAATGGAGAAACTATCAGTGTTTGGAACTATCGGCTGCTCCACGACACGCGTTACTTCCGCATTCCAAAGTTCCTATGGCGTTCTATGGGAGTGTCGCAACTCTTTCTCTCTATGGCTCTGGCTTTCTCCAATGGTAGAGCCACGGACCCTCGTATCTCCCAATAATAAGACCATCGCTGCGTCCGAAATCGAATAGGCTACTTACGTAATAGTATCAAAAAGTACCCGGATGACCTGCTACTTCCCTCGGGATTCTGAAGTGCGCATTCGATGGACGCTTTACTATCCCATGATGCAACGGGAGATGATTTATGAAGGCACCGCATCTCTGCTTGGAGTCTTTACTAACGAGGCATCGAAAACATGCAGTGCTGGGGATACTCCAGGACCAGGGTTGGGAACCACTAGCATTTTTTTGCTATCTTTCCATTTAGAATAAGTACTAATTAATAGTTTTATTAACTAGGTACCTTGTGTAAAATTGCATTATTCTGTTCCCTAACCCTAAATTTCACTTCAGGATGTTGGTGAGCATTAAAGAGAGAAATTAAATTTAAAAAGTGAGTTGTAACTAGGTGTGGGAAAGTTGTTAGAACTAGGAGACCTTCGGTACACTCCTTTGCCAGTGACGTTGGCTCGCAATATCTATTCATCGTGCTATGTAAAGTTTGTCAGCAATCAGAAAATTAGTTACGCAACATCATCATCACACAGATAACGTACTGTGTAAATATTCCAAGTAAATTAGTACTGAACTGCACCGCTGAGAAAGTGTAAAGGATGTTTAGTAATATGTATGTGTCAGCTGTACAAATGTAGAATATATGGGCATCACAGCTAGTCAACAACCCAGAACAACTTTTATGACTCCGTGGTCCGACTAACATACAAAGAAACACCAGTGTAAATATTTGAGGGTAATAAGTGGCAGCAGGTAGGCACCTGTATGGAATAGATAAAGAGGAAACAATAGCAAGAAGAATCCTGTTTCATTTGTTGAATGAAATAAAGATATGTATTGAAATTGCCAGGAGTGTCTATTATTACAAAGAAACACATGACAATGCCCTTAATAAGGAGTGGCGTTTAATCGTCTATTATCAGACCATATTCCGGCTGGCCTTTGGCATTACTTGACTGAATGGGTCACAGATGAACGTTGATACTCGTATGGAGAAGTCACATCACATGATGACATCGTAAATAGAAAGATCAATCACATGACTGAGGCTGAACTTTACAATCTCTCACTTTTCTTGAATTTTCTTTTCTAGTTCAGAAAAAGTATAGCCTATTGCTGCAAAGCAAACACAACTGTAATTCTCTGTAAGTCACTGGAATTGTTAAAGGTTGCATGTCTGGTTTGTATCAGGAAATGCATCCAATGTAAATGTAGTTCAAAAGTTTATTATTTAAAAAAAACAGTACGAAACATGTGAAATGTTTCAATTGCTGTCTATAAGTACAGTTGAAAGTCTCCATGGTGAATAGTCATTTTCAGATGGAACAAATTTTCCCTGGGAAAGTTAAGTACATTCGCTTCACACATGTACTGTTTTCAAACCCATCTGTATAGTACTGTACACATCTGTGTTCTTCCCGCACAACCTCTGTAAAACTTGTGGATAAAATTTCCTATTGCATCTTTGTGATTGTGGACATTTTCACAGCATTATTTTGATGCCCATTGAATACCATAATTAAAGCTATTTTTGTGGCACACAATTCATTTACATTTTTTTTTAAAAATTATTAAAGGGGAAATTCTCTAATGAAGATGCAACATTTTTAATGTTGCATCTTCATTAGTGATTTTCACCTGTTTAACAACTTATGAGTAAATGAAATCTAAAACTTAAAAAGGAGAGCCGAATTCCAGAAACTGCTCAGAACATCAACATCCCTAAATAATTCCTTCCCTTAATAATATGCATAATGCTGGAATATATAATAAAATAGAATTAATCATATGCATCCACTAACATACACATCCAGAAAACAAATACCCTAACCTTAAGCCAGGGACACACTTAACAACTGTAAGGCCGATTATGAATGTAATTTGATACATACGAATGATCATGCCCAAACGCGCCGAGTCAGAGTTGCGTTAGTCGGTGTTCACAGTCAGTGTTTAAAATCTTCTTCAGTCATTGGAAACAGACTATAAGTGTGTTCAGTTCAGTCTTAGAATGTTTCAGATATTTGTTAAGTGTGTCCCCAGCATTAGCAACAACTACAGAGATTCTAACACATGAAAGACGACCATCTTAAAAAGCTTAAATGTTGTTTAGAAAATTACATCTATCCAAATTACAACAAAGTAATATCAGCATGATTGTGTGTGATCACAGGAAGCATAAATTGTGTGTAGGTGTGAAAACTGAGCTATATATGAGAAACAAGCTGTCAGCTCAAACAAGTAAAGGCCATTAGCAGCTGCAGCTATGTTGTCAATTTGAAGGACAGAGCGCGCTGCACATGCAAGAATGGTTTTTTCTTCTTCAGGAAACATACCACTTAATGCTCAGGTTACACTGTAAACAGTGTGTGGTGTGCACGCTTACACCAGGGAACGCTTAGACAACAAACAATGTCAACACCAACAGTACAAGAGGAATATGTGCAGAGAGCAGTGCTTTGTGTGATCAAACAAACTTGCTTGGATGAAGTGCTATGTTTCCGTGACCTAAAAGGAAGCCTACATTATCAGCTAACTGCTGAAGGACAGTCATAAACACTAATACCCAAAGTCAACTAACAATGAAGGATTAGCAACAAAAACAAACATTTTTGCATTACGCACATTTTAATTTCACACCTTTAAATGGCTGCATTGTGTCTTTGCACAAGATGGGGCACATTCATTTGACGAAGTTATAAACAATGTGCATCAGTGTAGTTTATTTTGAGTTACCACAATATTTCCATTCCCTTTAAGCATGCCAACAAGAAGGTTTACCCACTTCCTGAGTAAATCCATGTTCATGAGCAACAGGTCTACATCCATATTTGATCTACATGTCAACACTAAATGACTGTATTCCAGTCATCCGACATGTTTTCCTGAATGTTGGGAAATGTCACCATAAGAGGAAACTGAACTCCCCTCTGAACTCCTTGACTGGAAAAAGTGAGTCATAGTTACTAGAACCTCTTAAAACTTTGTGAGGTGATTTTTGCATATTTCATTAGACTTGTTTGATAAGTAGAGAGAAAAAAAAAGTCTATTTTGTTTCTCCTTTTACGTCAAAGCCTCTCACAGTAGCTAAACTAAAGTGAAGCAGCATGAATTGTAAAAAGGAAGTGTTACGAAAGAAGGGTTTGGTCTAAATGTTTCACAATAAAGTCAACGACAAATCAGGGAAATGGTCAGCAGTTATGGCACATGCCCTGGCTAATGCGAAATATGACATTAATAATACAGACATTAGTTGTTACTCACCCAGAAGATGAAATTAAAGAAAAAGAGAAGGTATTTGACACATTTTGCTCCTCCTTCTACAGCCATGGCACTTTTCATACAAGTTCTGAAAATAAAAAGGTAAAAACACATAAACGAAAGTATCTACGACCACACCAACTTCCCTCAATACCTGCAAGGTTAAAACATGCTGGAACAATATAGGTCCGTTTTCTGACACAAGCTAAATGAGGCTAATAATTAACTGTATATCATGGAAAGTCAAAAATCCTTTTCAAGCAATTGAAACAAACCATCAAAGTAAAAAACTAAAATAGTGTCAAAAGGCAAGAATATGTAAAGAAGAAATACAAAAAGTATAAACAATATAAGGGTAATTTAATAATTTAGTGTTTTTGGCCATTGAAACTTTTGACAAACTTTAAGTTTGCATATGTCATACAGGTCAAGTTTAAATTATTTTAATCTTATATTCTTACAATTTTAACAACTGAGAGACAAAATGTCCAGATTATTTGTTTTATTTCCATATAAAAATCAAATTCTCATTAATAAAAAACAATCTGAAAAAAAAAAAAAACCATTCCAAAATTAAAAAGTGCCCATGTAGAACTTTATCCTTCTATACCATTTAATTGAAATGTCTATATTTATTGTTGATATTATTAAGCTGTGATTAAAAAAGAAAACAGTAGGCTACAGCAGGGGTTAAACTTTACCACACTCACAGTGGTTGAGCGCGATAAAGTTAGTTTTAGGTTCGATATTCGCCGGACATTTAATTCCCCTTGCCACTGTTCTATAGGGTCGGCAGTCTTACAAAGATATCAATAGCAGGATTAGTTTTAACATTATGTAACCATTGTATATCGACATGAAATATTCATTCAAAATAACCTACGTGCGTTAATGCTGCATAATTATAGGCTACCTGAGAATGCTTTTGACGCGTTTCCACAGCGAATGATGCCTAAGGGAACTTCCGCCAATTCCACCAACTGCGGTAAACGTAGCCTATCATTTTTATTATTTCAAATTACTTGTAACATTTAAAAACAGACGTTTTCAAATTCCAAAGCTTGTAGAAGGTTCCTATTGGCAATACTGACTTAGGCTACAGCTTTCCTGTAGCCTTGAATAAATTAACTTGTCTCAGAAAATGATAATAAAACTTATAAATATCAGTTGAGCCTATGTTTAGCTGCTTTCTTCACTGACACAGACGAAAATGAATAGACTATCAGTCAAAGTTCAGATTTAGGAGGGGAAGAAATAGGGCAGGATGAGGAGACTGAGAGAAAGAGAAAGATGAAGATGAGGAGAGAGCAGGTATTGATAAATTATCTAATGACAAGGTTTTAAAGCTATTTCTCATACATTTTTTTTGGCCTTCAAAAGTCCTAAATTGCACATATGTAGATCAGAGAAATCCAAATTTTCTCGGGGGAGCATGCCCCCAAACCCTCACTAACTACCTCACATTTGAATGCCTGTGTCTGTGAGGGGGTAATGTGGGTGGGGCTGTGCTAGCCAGAGCAAGTGGATGTTGCAGTGGAGTTAAAAGTCGAAGGTGAAGTAGGCTAATGTCAAATTTCCATAATTGTGATTGATTTATTTCTGTTATAGTTGTCTTCAGCCATTTTGGTATGTTAAAATTTGAGTCAGTTTTGGACTTCTTATTTTTGTGTTTAAATTTACATTGTGAAAACCAAGGTTGTGTTCCATGTAGTGTTCAGCAATTTTAACATAGTATCGTCATCATATCAGTCTAGATGTAGATGGACCAAAATAAAACCATTAAAATATCAAGTAAATAAGTATTGTGATACTTGGTGCCACAGTGACTCTCTTGTCCCAAAAAGTATTGCTATACCACGATACTCAATACACAAAATTTGGGGTTCCCCCACCTGCCAAATCCCACTTTAACCACTGCAGATGACTATATCCTTTTTCAAAAATTATATTCTTCCCCCCACAGTTTCCGGGGTAGACATGTTATACTTAACCACATGACTAAAATACAACGGGTGTGTATCAATTAGCTCCCTAGCTCGTGAATCAGTATATAGTGTACACGAATCCGGGCACTGGTAAGAGTAAGGACCCTGGCTTACTACACATTGGGACAGTGATTACTCAATTTCCAGCAACATGACTTCATACATCATCAACGTGCAACGGTGTAGCAACGTAACACCGCTGGTATTAATCAACAACAGGCAAGACCTGTGTTTTTTTCTAATATTTTTATGCTTTTTAAACGCATTGTTTTGATACATATCCTTACAACATTTCAGGCGAATAATAAATTATAAATGTTAACTAGACGTGTTCGCTACCGGTCTAGTGATGTGTATTTATGCTGACATATAGGCCTAATAAAAAAGCGGTTTGTCTTTTCAAAATATTCTATCGCGTGTCATATTTATTGAGTTGGCTTATGTGTTTTGTTCATAGACTGTAAAAAGGTTTTGTTTCACGCTTCAGTAATGTGACGTAATGTTTTTGCGGTGCATTGTGGGATTTTTTTTTAGGGAGAGAACGTTCCAGTGCACTGGAAGGATTTTGCGATTGAGACAGCCCTTAAAATGACTGACTCCCTGATCAGTGCCCATGGTGAAATAGAGCTGATTGAGACGCTCCCAATGTCTCATCCAGTGTGTGATGACAGTTCTTATAGGACAAAGTATTACAAGACAGTAACTCAAGATACAAACAAAAGAATTCAAATTTGCAATTTCACCATACATTGTGTTTTTTCCTGTATTTGAAGAAATTGATCATTTCAACGCTTCTTCAGTAAAAGATGCTCAATGTTCGCTTTTGGAGACAAAATAATTTAGTTAGTTTAGTTTGACCTTTATTGTCATTGCATGGTAGGCTATACAACGAAATTTGATACAACGAAAAATACAATACCCGTAATCGAAATAAATGTAGGCCTAGGTAAAATATGGGTTTTAGAGTCAAAGCAGTGTGTAATGTAATAATAGTCCTCATTCTCTTTAGCCAAGCGAACAGAATATTAATTTGGTCAAATTTTAAATGAGAAATGCTTTTGACATGTCTTCAGTAACAAGGAACAAATGAAAACCGTGAGAAAGCGAAACGTCATCTGACTGCGGTCACGAGATTAATAGTCAGAGTTTAGTTCCATGTTTTAAAAGCAGTTTGGTTTTTGTTTTGTTTTTTAAATTAGATTTCAAAGGTCTACACTATATTTAACTGCGTCAGTAAACCAGTTGTAAATAAATAAATGTTTATGATCATGATGACGACACTTATTGACAAAATACTTCGGTATTTCTTGTTCTTGCAATCCCCCTCCTCGTGCGTTATACAAACGTCTTATTTTTCAACTCCTACGCCAATTTATCTATCAACTTTAAAAGGTTCACATCATGGTGTTTTAAATCTGATAAAATAAAGGCTTCGTATGTTTATAAAGAAACCCACCAATATGTCTGAAGTTTTGAAGACTTTTAGGGCCTCGCTCTCTCGGAAAAGACAAAAGCATGATGTTGAAATTCAGTCTACGACATAAGAAGCTCGCTCACGACGCGAAGGACAGGAAACAATACGGCCATTCACTTGGTTAACTAAATTACACCCAGCGTGTAATTTCGAGGATTTCCAGTCAAAACTAATTACTTAAGGAAACAAAAAACGAGTAAGTTAGCCTACTCTCAAACGAAGAAAAAAATGTGTCCTTCGCTTCAGTCTTGAGACTAAAGGCTACTTGACATTTTGCCGTTAATTTTAAAATCAGAGTTAATCGGTGAGAAATCGCTTACCTCGGGTTAAAATGTTCAGTCTAGCGTACAGGAAACCTGTAGAGTGAAAATTAGATGCTTTCTATCCAAGCAAGAAGCAACAGTACACGGATATGAGAGATGTCGATGTGTGTTACTGTGTTTTTGATCCCTCCTATAACTGCTGCACCCCACCCCTTACTGCATGAGGCTGAACCTAGTAAAGAAAATCGTGTAGATATAATCAGTCAGATATAAATAAATAAAAAAAACACTTAAAATGGTGTATAAGAAATGATGTATAAAAGAATATAGAATATAAAATAATATAAGAAATTATGTATAAAAGAATAAAAAAGTAAACATAGCCTACTGTATGTGTTAATAAGAATGTGTAGCCTATTATATGGATGCAAGTATTATTAGAAAATAAACTTAATGTATCCTCACCAACAGGTATAAAGTTCAAAACCACTGAGACAAAAAACAAGCTAAACATAACAAATTAAAGATGTCTAAAAACAGTTTGACATCATATGGATTTTGACTTCAAATATAAAACCCTAACAAGTCCATACCACTAAGAGTTACAGTAGAGTCGTTATGATAACTAAAGTTGATCTATCATTTTATTACAGTTTTGTAAATATCATTTGACATATTGAAGACACCAGCAGAGATTAGAAGTCATTTAGCTTCATCTTTCTCGTTACACAGTGTGATATCATTTTATTGTGACATTGTCATGGCCAGATAAAATCATTTTAACAGACCACTGGAATGAATGAAATGTACCACAAACATTTGAAAGAAGCCAACCTTATCTAGAGGCGTGTGCTGTCATGGAAAGGGAATTCTTCATTAAATTTAATCAGAGCCATTCTTTTTAAGAGTTGCTATACTCTAACAAATGTAGAAGGCTTTCAGGTTTTTTCAGTCCCCCAGATTTTTTAAAGTGGTGGTTCACCAAAATGAAAAGCTGGTATGTCTATTATAATGAATGAAAACAATTTTTGCAATTATTATTGCAATTAAATCATTTTTATCATAAGTTAATGTCCTTAAAAATAGTGTTTTATCATAAAATAATTTCTATCATACGCTAAGCATTTTGTCACGTCTCTGAGGCACTTCACTGAATTTGTGCTTTGCAATTTTTTGGCAATATTGTAAGTATTTTATTTGTGTTACTTTCTTGTGTATCAAGCCAACTCAACCCCGTCATATAAAATTAGGATAGAAAATGGTTATTTTTCAACATTTTATTTTAATCCTTAAGATACAACTTATTTCGTTGCTGCCATATATGGTCTTCTACTCTAGACGAGGAGCAGTGGCCATTTTTAGCAAAAAACCTCCACACCATCACCCCATCAAATAATATTTTTCATTGTTTTGGGGTTGTAAACTTGTGACAGGATTGAGTTTTTCACTTCATTTATTAATAATTTTAATTAAAAATATATAAAATCATGGTTATCATGTAAATGGGTATCATGTATCAGTAAAGATATACTTACCAAAACCATGACAACTGTTATAAATAGAATAATTAATGTAATGTGTCCACTTAAACATCGTCAAGCAATGTCTCCCGCCTCACCTGTTACAGTCTTCAACACCATACTATTCTTTTGGGGAAAAAATCGGGAAGACGATTAAAAATGAAGTCATTTCTTGCTGATTACCACCTGACATGTTAAGAACTAACACAATAAAATTGTGGTTTTAGTTAAACATCTAAATATTTTTTTTTGACTCCAATCCAATAAAAATCTGAAAATTATTATGTGAAAATTGTTATGAGGGACACGTGAGCAGTAGGTAGCCTACATGTTAGTTTTAGAACAAGTTTTGCGTAAAATCTTTTTAAAAACAATTCCATTTTGTCCGTTTCGGGGGTTAAGAATAAAAGGTGTTTAAAATATGGGGAAAATACCTGAAAAAGAGGTTTGATATGTGCCTAATGATGTGAGATATTTAGAAATTTAATTCTAGTTTGAATATTACCGTATCCCAGGAATGACCCCTTTATTTATATGGTGCTTTTTACAATACAGAGTGTTTCAAAGCAGCTTTACAGTGATAAAGAGGAAAATAACGATTCAATGATGCAAACAGAATTAAATGCTGCTGTAAAGCAGCTCTAAAACAAACAACAGTCATTATTCGGTTAAAATCAGTTCAGTGTTGATTCATTTTGATTTAATATCGAAGTACATCAATTATGCAATTAGTTCAATTATATAAAACAGCTCTGCAGAAAACAGAGATGTCATCATCAAGCTAAGTTGAGTTCTCAACAAATAGTGTCAGTGCAGTCAAATCAGTAATATTGCTGAAAAATAAGTGTCCCCAAAAGCAAGCCAGAGGTAACAGTGGCAAAGACCCCAAACTCCACCAGGGACAGAAATGGAGGGGAAAAAACCTTGGGAGAAACCAGACTCAATCAGTGGGGCCAGTTCTCCTCTGGACAACGAACGACCAAGGTGTGATTATGATTCAGGCTGCATAACAAGAACCAGATTGAAAGCTGCGTCCTCCGGAAGTTGCATTTGTCGGGCTCATGTCAATGAGGCTGCTTCATTTCAGTAAAATCACCACTACATTCCAAAGTCATTAAGAAATTACAACAATCTACGCTTCATCTGGAATAAAGGTCAATTTTATATTGGTTCCTGTTCTGAAATGAGACATCCTTACTGACGTAAGCGGCAGCCCTCGGAATGAGACACAGCTTGAGTCAGTTAAGATCAGCATAATTTACACTGAATTATGATGCAACATGTGGATGACATCAATGGTGCAATTTTAATTCCAGGGGAAAGTCTATGCAAGTTCTCTTTTAAGACACCATTTGTGACTTTTGTGACTTTTTACAACACATTCCCCAATGTCTGAGGACATATGTGCAATTTGGATGGGCATGACTGTTTATTTAACCCATAATATTCCTTTATTTAGATGGCAAGGAAAAGAAAAGAGCATTTTATCGGTTTAATCAGACAAACATTGACAAATGTATTGCCACATTTCAAAAACAGGTTCTTCTGCATTGTATTAATGTGGTGGTGGTGGTAGCAGCGTTTAAAACTTCCCGTTTATATTTCCTGTTCATGAGCTTACACGTCCTCTTAAAAACTTCTTTAAATATGACTAAGGCTATGAGTAGGCCCTCATAGTTTTGGACAAACCTAGTTTAATGATCACACCACTGGTATTCCTCTACTATACCTTTCAAAATATGAATATCATTCCGTCCACATGCTTATTTAATCAATGACATTTTGGAAAAGACAAAAGTGATAAACTATTGAATCCTTGATAAACAGTGTTAAATAATATGGTGCAGAAAGGAAATATAAGAAAAATGTATTTTGTTTACGCATTTTAATGCATGTTACAGATTGGTATGTTTTATCAAAGCAATTAAATGATTATATTGGCAGCCAGTGAGTGTTCAGATATGAATGTTGGGTGGCAATGCAGAGCACAGCAATACAAAGACATGATCTGCGTATTATAAAAGCACACATTAGTGAGCACAGGAACAGGATACTCTCAGAATTCAAGCGCTGTCAGGGAACCTGAACTTCCGATCTTCTTAAACCTATTGGCTGCAGCAATGGCTATGTAGTTTTTCTGTACAAAGGAGTGAGGTGGAAGATGAAGGAGAAATGGAGAAAGTATTTAGTATCTTAAAACAGTGTTAAAGTGGTAAATCATAATGTTTTCCTCAGCTTGTCACCTTCCACATCCGCCTGGCCATATACTTCTTGAGGAGAACCTGTGACTTGAGCACGATGTTGCTGCTCTTGGCTTTCTTACTGATGTCGTTGAGCCATGGGTGTTTGAGACTCTGTGTAGCACTCATACGACCACTGTAAAAAAAGAGAGAAATCTTCAGAAGACTTGGAATATATAACACAAGTTGTATGAAATGTTACTTTTATTGTGTGTGATTTTTTTTATGGTTCTTTTGCATCCCTTTTGGAGCTTGAATGCAATTAGTCACTGTACGCTTTCATTGTATGGAAAAGAGCAGATCGGACATTCTGTAAATCATTCCAAGTCACTCGGAAGTTGTTGGACTAAGTGTACTTGGAAGTGTATTTTAAAGTTCACCTTCTTTCTCTGATAAGCAGGTTGGAGACGAAGTCCCGCGCCTCAGCAGACACATGCTCAAACGCATCCTCATCGAAGTACCTACACACATCCAACAGGGGGTGTTGTTTTATAACAATTTGTATTTATTTTCGAGATATCTACATTTTTTTTTTTCACATTTCATGTTCTGGGCTCCATAGAATTCACGGCCTGGTTTCACAGACAGGGTTTAGATTAAGCCAAGATTAGGCCTTAGTTCATTTAGGGCATTTAAGTAGCTTTTATAAACATGCCTTAGAAAAAAATATTACTGGTGTGCATTTTGAGACAAAACAATGACACTTTAAGATATCAGTGCAAGTTGCTTTCAGTTAAAACAGCTCAAACATTATTATTTTAGTCTGGGACTAGGCGTAAGCCTTGTCTGTGAAACCAGGACTATGACTTGTAAATATATTTTTCTTTGTGAGTAGCTAATGCTGTGTTTTGTATAGAATTAATATAATAGTGGCCTACCAGTTGCCCAAAAGCACATTGTTGAGGGTCTGTCCATCATCATCGCCCAGAAAAGGAGAGAGGCCACTTAACCTACAACAACAGAAATTGATTGTGATTTTTATTGTTTCTCCAGTTCAACAGATCAGTTAACATGGAGCTAACAGGGTTGTACAAGTTTCTTTTTCTGTTTTGGAGACTACCCATAATACACCATAACACCGGTATTGCTTTAATTAGAAGTAGTTGACTGAGTGCTCATTTACTGCCTTGTTTGATGCTTTTGGACTCACTCCCAGTCCCTTTACTGTACGTCCCCCACTATTAGCCAATCTATGAAACTAATTTTAATGTTTGTAATCAAGGTCCGTTTGAATCTTTTGCAGTGTTATGGTGATTTTAAATTCAAATGTAGAAGATTGTTCAAAATGATATTTAATTGCAATCTATATGTTCTGGTGTATGTGAATGCACACAGCTTATTGTGATTTACAGCATATATGTGACGACTCCCAAAGTCCACATATCTGTAGGGAAGGAGACAAAATCGAAGTTCACCACCTCCGGAGCTAAAAATTCAGGCGTTCCGAATGAAACTTTGAGCTTCTCCCGTGGTTTATATCTGAAGGAGAATAAGGAGAAGTCACTTAAACCATAAAAGTAAGCCTTGGTTGTAACATTTGAACTCTCAGAGGATCAACACATTCAGAAATACACAGTGGTCATTGGAAAAGTATGTAAGGCAAATGTCATATGCCAAAATGGCTGATGACAACACTAATCTTGATTTGAACAATGGACAAGCACAATACAATAGTTGTGTAAAAGTATAAATCATACCTCCTTGCTAGTCCAAAGTCAATAATTTTCACCTGATTGCTAGAGTGATTAACAAGAAGGATGTTCTCCGGCTGAGAAAAAAGAAGTGATAAACTGTTTTCAGGATGTCAAAGAAAAGAAACTATGAATGAAAGCTGTAAATATGAGGCCATCCTCAGTTATCATATGAAATATTGATACATCAGTTTAAGAAATCCATAAATAATATTTAATACATAAAAGCAAATAAAAGAGGCTGCAGTTTAATAATAATAACAATAAAAAAACTTTATAAAAGAATAAATAAAGGACTTTAAAAATTGGCATTTTAGAAATGATAAAATTTAAAATAGTTATTTTTAATATGCTTTTTAATTCTAGTTTAAATTCACTTTAATTCTAATTCTAATTCTAATTCAAAGTCTTTTATTTTTTAAAAGTATGCATTGGATTTTCAATAAATAGCCTTTTCTGTTATATATTGCTATATATTATCAATTTCCAGTTAAGCCAGGAGGTGGCACCCAATCTGCTGTCAATCAAATGTTACAAAAGTTGTCATTGGTCATGGCTGTTTGCAGTTTAAGAAACTTAAACGACTGTACCATTGATCAAATTGTTGTTTGTAAACATTTCATAATTATAATTTCTCAATTAAATTTATTTAGTTATTAAACTAAATTTAGCATCACAAATGGCCTCCCCATATGTAAAAAGAAAAAAAGTGGTCAAAAACCCTGAAATTTGTATTAAATGAATTAATTATTTTTGTAAACTTTTTTTAATTACAATTTTATTGTCTTTCTTATTACATGCAAGTTTTTGGAATCATGGAGTAGACCATAAGAGCAAAAGTTGCCTTACATTTCTCCATGACGCAGAAAAGACAAGCCTCGTCTTAAATGTATCCGTGGCGCAACAGACAAGCAAAGTCTATTTATGACTCACATTTCCCCTTAACACCCATCTCTACAATAGCAGTTACCATAAAGACTTAGGCTATAATCCTATTGAACCCTCTCAGAAAACAAAACAAAATCACTAACCTAAATCAGACGATCAACGTGACTCCTTTTTGCTTCATCTCTTACCTTGAGGTCCAGGTGAAGTACATACATTTGGTGCATGTACTGGACACCCTCACAGATCTGTTTTACGAACACCATGGCATCCACCTCAGTCAGCGGACAGCTCTCATCCACAATTCTCTCGAACAATTCGCCTCCCTCCACACTGAATAAAAAAGAAGAGACAGGACCATCTCTATGGTTTCATCCTTCACATGTTGCGCTTTAGCTCCTTGTGTTTTATTGCTTAATAAGTTGATATCTGGGTCTACTTACAACTCCAAAATCAGCACAACTTGATTCTTGACCTCAAAGGCTTCATAAAGTTGGAGGATGTTAGGGTGACTGAGCTGGTTCATGACTTGCATCTCATTCAGTGCCATGTCCTGCAAAACAACAGAAAACAGCCTTTAGATATTATTTTATGTTTTATGAGTTTTTTTTGTTCCTTGTGTTATTATCTGTGTTAGCTGTTATTTGTGCTAATGAAGGTATCTAGTGTCAGGTAAATAAAGCATAATTAATAATACAGATCCAGAACATGAACATTTCAGGACTCAGCAAGACTAGAAGAGACATTTTCAAGTGGAAGAATAGGTTTGCTTATTGCTTAAAAATATGTGCTTTTGCTGATCTAAATTCAGTGTATATAAATGGAAATCTGTTGATATATCTATAGACGATACATTATGTACACTATACCCCTCAAAAGTTGAAGTTCAGCACGATTTTTTAAAAGAATTTAATATTTATTTATGAAGGATTCATTAAATTGATCCAAATTGACAGTAAAGTCTTTCTGAAATGTTTTAACTTTCTATTTATCATCAGAGAATCCTGAAAAAATTTATCACATTTTCCACAAAAATATTAAGTAACGGTTTTCAATATTGATAATAATAAGATATGTTTCTTAAGCAGCAAATCAGCATATTAGAATGATTTATGAAGGATCATGTGACACTGAAGACTGGAGTAATGATGCTGAAAATTCATCACCGGAATCAATAATGTTGGTAAAAAAAAATCATTTTGTTGGCAAAATACTAGTTTGAAAGAAACGTAGTCTGTGATGGCACTTTTTAATGCACTAATTAATGTGCAAATGCTGTCAGTAATATTGTGAAGTTTTAAAACATGCACAGCACAGATCTGGTCTACTTACCCTTTCTCTGGCATTTCTTGTGTTGATGATTTTAGCAGCAAGCCTCATCCCTGTCTTGGTCTCGGTACATTTGTGCACCTTGCCAAAACGACCGCTGACAATTTAATATGATGGTTAAAAATGTCAAAGATTAGGATGACTGGTTACTATGACAATATTTTGCCTATATAATAACTCCATAGCAATTACTGTAGCAGAAATGCTAGCTTTCAGCTCACCCTCCCAGCACTTCTCTGGTGTGGATAGTGAAGGTATCACAGGGTGGAGGGTTCGACTTCAGCGACACAAACCGGTGAGCAAAAGGGGCAGGCTGAGGTGAAACATCATCTGAAAAGAGCCAGAAGGACACTATTAGAAGTGTTCTTTCAGACAACAATCTTTCAGTCAGTCTACTTCATTGGGAATCTTGGGTCAGAGATCACTATGAGATGTTGATGGTGTTGATATCTGATCTACACTCACCTAAAGGATTATAGGAACACCTGTTCAATTTCTCATTAATGCAATTATCTAATCAACCAATCACATGGCAGTTGCTTCAATGCATTTATGGGGGTGGTCCTGGTCAAGACAATCTCCTGAACTCCAAACTGAATGTCAGAATGGGAAAGAAAGGCGATTTAAGCAATTTTGAGCGTGGCATGGTTGTTGGTGCCAGACGGGCCGGTCTGAGTATTTCACAATCTGCTCAGTTACTGGGATTTTCACGCACAACCATTTCTAGGGTTTACAAAGAATGGTGTGAAAAGGGAAAAAACATCCAGTATGCATCAGTCCTGTGGGCGAAAATGCCTTGTTGATGCTAGAGGTCAGAGGAGAATGGGCCGACTGATTCAAGCTGATAGAAGAGCAACTTTGACTGAAATATCCACTCGTTACAACCGAGGTATGCAGTGAAGGGTTGGTCAAACTCCCTTGCCTCTTCAAATACATTTATAATCATATATCATTTTGAATGGTTATATACTTCCTTTATAAAAATCAATAATCAAATATATTTATTATCACATAATAATTTTTATATTCTTTGTACTTGTGAAATTATATTTTCTTAAATGCATGGATGCAAGTAACCAGTTTATTTTAGGTGCATTCCAATCTTACTTTGAGATTGCACGTAGTACACGCAGGACACGAAGGCCACGTAACCCACAAGGCCGTTTGTCTCTTTCTCTGGGATCAGTAGAAAGGTTAGAGGGTCCTAAAGGCAGCGTGGGCACATATGATTCTTCGCTGGACATATAGTCAAGCTATATTGAGCGTTACTATCAAACTTTAATTGTTGTATTAAAATGTATTCTTTCCAGTATATTTCCTTCCTTGGGAGTAAATGCCAGTGATCTGTTTTTCTCCCAAACGAGTGAATGTTTTAGCAGTATGTTTTGGTATACTTAACTGATAATAAGGAGCTCAGACTCTCTTCAGCCTTGATGGGAGCTGTTATTTGCTAGTGTCTGTTATTTGTGTGTGTGTGCGTATGACATTCTATGTAGGTTCTGGACGTTCGGACCAGACAACCCGGCGCCCTTCTCTAACCTGCGAGGCCACCACAGGCCTAAATCCAATGAGTGGACGACAACTATCTTGACTAATGGCGATAGGCACCCCTATCTCCTCACATGTGTTAAATTGTTTAGGCTCTTAATGTTTCTTAGCCAATGAGAATCATTCAACCTGTAAGCAATGACGTAGCTTAGACCTTGGAAATGGTATAACTGCTGTGATCTTTGTAACTGTAAGAGGGGCGGCCTACGAACTCCTGTGTGAGTCTTGAAGCTGACTTCTGCTGATGAAAATGCAAACTATCTTCAGTAAAACTTTTCTTTAATTTTTTATAATTCTGACTCCGGGTCTTCATTCTTCATATCTGGTTCTGGGTCTTTGACTGTATACCCCTTACAGCAGCAAAGCATTTGTGAAGCCACAACACGCACAACCTTGAAGCGGATGGGCTACAACAGCACAAGACCCCACCGGGTACCACTCATCTCCACTACAAATAGGAAAAAGAGCAATTTGCAAGAGCTCACCAAAATTGGTCAGTTGAAGACTGGAAAAATGTTGCCTGGTCTAATGAGTCGATTTCTGTTGAGACATTCAGATGGTAGAGTCAGAATTTGGCGTAAACAGAATGAGAACATGGATCCATCATGCCTTGTTACCACTGTGCAGGCTGGTGGTGGTGGTGTAATGGTGTGGGGGATGTTTTCTTGGCACACTTTAGGCCCCTTAGTGCCAATTGGGCATTGTTTAAATGCCACTGCCTACCTGAGCATTGTTTCTGACCATGTCCATCCCTTTATGGCCACCATGTACCCATCCTCTGATGGCTACTTCCAGCAGGATAATGCACCATGTCACAAAGCTCGAATCATTTCAAATTGGTTTCTTGAACATGACAATGAGTTCACTGTACTAAAATGGCCCCCACAGTCACCAGATCTCAACCCAATAGAGCATCTTTGGGATGTGGTGGAACGGGAGCTTCGTGCCCTGGATGTGCATCCCACAAATCTCCATCAACTGGAAGATGCTATCCTATCAATATGGGCCAACATTTCTAAAGAATGCTTTCAGCACCTTGTTGAATCAATGCCATGTAGAATTAAGGCAGTTCTGAAGGCGAAAGGGGGTCAAACACAGTATTAGTATGGTGTTCCTAATAATCCTTTAGGTGAGTGTATAATGCTCTTCATGTTGGGTTGGAGTGGGAACAGCTGCAGGAGAGTGTAGGGCAATAACATGCCAGGGACAAAGGATTATCATATTCCAGACACTTCAGATGTCTAAGGTCAGGCTATATTAGAGGCCTTGCTGTCTGCTCAACCTTTGAAAACAATTTTACACAACTGGAAATTGCCATTTTGTGGTTATGATCTTCTCTTCTGGAAACTGTTTACTGACATTGTCAATACAGAATAACCTTTAACTTAAATTTCTTTGATTTAAAAAAAAAATCAAACAGAACAAATGTTAAAAAATAAAATGTTACTTACCTATAAGTTTAAAACAAGTTTTATAAAGATTATTGCTCTTCATCTGTACTGGATTCTTGTCTGTAGCTGGACTTATTTTAATCTGTATTCCACCAGATATGTGGTTTGCTGCTCCAACTGCCTCAGTCACTTTCTTAGCCAGCGGTGCTGTCACCATGTGGACCAAATCTGCCTTTCCTCCAGTGACCTGTAATCTGTATAAGAAAAACATTGCCATTTATATATATATATATATATATATATATATATATATATATATATATATATATATATATATATATATATATATATATATATATATATATATATATATATATATATATATAAATGTTAAATTTAGAGTAATATTTAGTATTGTTTTTAAAAGAAGCCTCTTTTGAAATATTACAGTTTGAAATTGCTGTAAAAACACATTTCTATTTTAATATATTTTAAAATGTTCCTGTTGTTGGCAAAGCTACATTTTCAGCATCCTTACTTCAGTGTCACATGATCCTTTAAATATTCGAATATGCCGATTTGGGGCTCAAGAAACATTTTTTTTATCATCATGTTGAAAATGTTCATTTCTGTGGAAACCGTGATTCACTTGTCAGGATTCTTTGATTAGAGAGTTTAAAAGAACAGCTGAAATAGAAATCCTTTGTAACATTATAAATGTCTATACTGTCTTTAAAAAAAAACAAAAAACAATTTCTTTAAACAAAATTAAATAAAAACTCTAACTGATCCCAAACTTTAAGGTTTTGTGTGTGTAAACCCTACTTTGTGAGGACAAAATGTCTCCAAGTATCACAATACCAGAAATCTTTGACCTTGTGGGGACATTTTTGGTCCCCACGAGGAAAACAGCTTATAAATCATAATAACTAATGACATAGTGTTTTTGTTGTAAAAGGGGTTAGGCAAAATAAGTCTTGACTTCAGCCTAAACCCCTTCGGTCAGGTATTATTTAGCATTTAAATTCCTAGGTACTCATTTTGTATTTATCTTTCTAATGTATTTAAATTTTCTTTTCTTTCTCTATTTGTTTCATTGTTTTATGTTTTTTTTTTCTTCATTGTATTATGTACAGGATTTTTGAATTACATATGACCTAAGATTTAATTGTTCAAAATGACCGAAGAAAATAAATAAATAACAAACAGACTAAAAGTTAGTTTTCTGTGAGGGTTGTTTAGGGGATAGAATATACAGTTTGTACAGTATAAAAATTGTCAATGGAATGTCTCCATAAAACATTGAAACCAATCATGTGTGTGGTTTTACCATTTAAAACCTAACAAATGTCTTATGAAATATTGGTTACACTTTATTTGAAGGTGTCTTTATTACAGTGTAACTATACATATAATTACTGAGTAATATTAAGTAACTACATGTACACACATTAGGGTTAGGACTTGGTTTGGTTTAGTTGTATGTGATTATGCATAATTTATAGTTATTACTAACTACATGTAACATAAATCAGCTGCTGCAAAAGTAATAAATTGCATTTTAAATTTTCAGACAAGCAATGAAGGGATGCATGTGGTTTTACCTCTGTAAAGAGTTAGGGCAGCTGTGCACTTGTCTAAGGGAGAAAGCCTCTTTTGTTGCTGTGGTAACATTCAAACCCACTGTTTTTGGTGGTTTGTGGCTTGGCGGAAACAATGTCACATCTTGTGACCTTGTCATTTTTGTGGTGGGTGTATTTACTGATGATTTTCCCGAACTCTGCGCAGTTGCTGCAGGAAGAACCAGACTTGTTTGGGGAACTTTTTGGATTGTTGTTGAATCTGTAGGTAATTCCATTAAAGTCAGCTTGGGAGGGTTGTTGTTGGGTACCGATGAAGCCGTACATGGAGGCATTGCTGGAGCAAACAGTCCAGTCATCTTTGGTATGGTATGATTCGGTAAGGTTACATTCACTGTTTCAGTATGCTTCGGTCTGATTGTGTTGGGCAAAACAGCTGTTGTCACAGGAACAGATGCTGATGTCATCTTTGGTGCTTTAGTTTTTAATAGTGACACTTTCCTGTCATCTTGGGCTTCTGATTTTGGTGGAGCAATACCAGAAGTCCTCTGGATCACCGTTGAAGCAACAATGACGGGTATCAGGACGTCATTCTGGTCCTTATTTTCAAGCTTATTCATTGTATGTGTTTGCTCATGACATTGAGATAGGTTCGATCTTGGGGGTACAGTGGATATTTCTCTTTCCCCTTTGATTTGCAATTTAGGTTCATGTTGAACTTTGACCTCTGTTGAATCTTTTCTAGCTTGATGGTCCTCTTTTCTCGTTCCATTGTTTTCATTGACTTCTAGCAAAACACCTACACAAACACACAGAATAAACAATATAAAGGCATGTTTGCACCAAGGACGATAACAATATATTATATATTATAAAAGATAAAAGAATTATAACGATAATGATTTAGAGGAACAATATTGTTGGAATCACTTTCAGAAAATAATTCTCAACTGATGAATGATAAAAACATTTACAGCCAATCAGAATCCATCCTGCTGAGACAAGAAAACTGCATGCGCAGAGGATAGAGCAAAACAAAACACCGGTCATGAATTAGAAGTCTAAAACAAGAATTTTTAAAGCGAAATGTTCGAGGAGCTTGAGTTTGTTGCCCAGCCCTTTTTGTTTGAACCACGAGAAGTCTACTCTCACCGAAACTTACGCTACTCCTACATCGGGTCAGAGGTCACTTTTCCGCCGGAACTAGACTCGCGTACCGCTGTTACCAGAAGCCAGTGATTATAGTTTATAAAGTTATAAATATGTATATTTTTCTCACAAAAACGCATCGCTTCACAAGGCCCTTCATTAACACCCTGGAGCTGTATGAATTACTTTTATGATAGACGGATGCGCTTTTTTGGGCTTCAAAATTACAGGTACTATTCACTCCCATTATAAAGTTTGGAAGAGCCAAGAAATATTTTTTTTAATAAGTCCAATTGTGTTTAGCTAAAAGAAGAAATTCATGTACCTAGGATGGCTTGAGGGCGAGTTAATTATGGGATAATTTTCATTTTTGGGTGAACTAACCCTTTAAGCCTTACAAATTCACTTTGTTTTTTATATTAATTTGGGATATTTTGCAAAAAAAGATTTTTATTCATAGAATAAAAGAATACAATATGAAATATAACTTTCAAAGCAAATATTTGACAATATTGTATACCTTATAACCCCATCGTCATTGTTTTTTGGTATAACCTTTTAATGGGAGGTTCAAGTTGAAACTTTTAATGGGAGGTTATGAGCAACAAACTTCTGTATTTTTTAAAACGGGTTGCATTGCTTCCGGTTCAGGTCTTTTGTATGTGCTTTGTTTAAATAGAGCCATTTTAATCAATATACTCACTACCTTTTAAAGAAGCGAGTAAAGATGAGCATAACCAATGTCCACACAACATTTTTTTTCTTCTCACGAACATTTAGATATTTAAATTGAATAAAATGACAACAATGAAAAACTAGCTAGTTAGCTGATTGCCTTAATTCCATAGATATCACCGTCAGTTTCTGACCAGTTTTCCTGTTACTAGGCATACAGCCTATTACTGTTTGTGTCCTTAGTCAGGTGATTTGTGGGTTCTCGGTCATTCTGTAGTTCATAAATAGTTAACAAGCCCGTCATTCAGATTTATGTCCATCAAAACTGACCATGACAATCCCATGGCATGGCCACACTCCACCTTTTATTACTAATGAATGCTGCCCGCCCAGCATATAATATAGTGTAATATCGTAGTACCTTTCTCCGAGGGTTTATTAAAGGAATGGGACACCATTTTATGGTCTCTGTCTAAGCGAATATAGACTTCCTCCTGTCAATAGAGAAAAAAAAAAAAAAATTAAGTACATGGTAAATGTCATTTATGCCATGTTGATTAATGCAATAACTGTACGAGTTAATGTAACAGTTTATAAGCAATACTGGTTCTAGTCCTTTCCACTGACCGCAGAGGTTCGAACAGGCAGGGATTTCCGTCTCTGTAGAGCCACTAAAGGCACAGACACTCTCTCACACTGTCTGTCCTCCAGACCTTTCATATTTAAGAGACAGAACAGAAAAGTAAAAAAAAAAAAGTTTTTTAAAACCAAGACACACTTGAAAACCTGAATGTCATTGCATTCTGATTCCCATACCACGTGCCAGGTCCTCCAAGGCTGTTCTCATCTCCAAAACTTTCCTTTCAAGAGAATCCAGGAGTCTGGTCTGAGCCGATAGCTGGCTGGTCACAGTCTCCTGCAGTGTGCTGTGTTGGACACAGGTCGCACACATGGGACAACTTTTCCCTGGGCTCAGAAGGAGCTGCTCCACTTTAAACCGCAGGTCATCAACCTTGGCCTCCAGAGTTGTGGGATTTGACGGAGGCACAGGGCATTTCATAGAGCCCTTGAAAGACATGGAATTAAAGCTGTGCTAGAGGGAGAGACAAATATACAGGTATTAGACAAAAAGTACTTCTTGAGGTCAAATTTGCAATTAAGCCAACAGATTTTACTCCAAATTTTCATTATAAACTCTGCTGAAATATATCCATTTAAACCAGACTATTTTTGTTTGCTGGTCCTAGACGGTCTCTCAGCATGGCAAGCTGAAGAGAACAAAACCCCTTTAAAACCAGCCAAAAGACCAGACTGAGAGACCCAGGTTAATAAAATAAGCGGGGAATTAAAGCCTAGATGGACAATTAAATTTTGGATGTATAGCTGACAGAAAAAAATTGACTTGGTTTTTAGTCAACTAATTAGTTAATACAATTCAATTTATAAAAATGTTTAATCAATAAAAGCTCAAGTTAATATTAATTTATATGACCAATTTTACTTAAAGACTTCTCCCATAAATATTTCTATTAAGCTAAAATATAAATGCATAATAGAAACTAATTTTAGGTGCTCTAACTAGCCACCAATTTTTCTTTCCTCCGGTATGATAAATTAACTTTTTTAAAGTAGAAATATTCCATGGAGTTACAAAAACTACACAATGATTGAAAAAAAAATTGCACAAAAAAGTATAGCTTTTCAACCTCAGAGTAACTCTGAAATTACAATCATCATAACTCCAAAGATATTTTACACCCACCTGTAAAGACTTTTGTCCAGAATGAGAAGCCCAGCGTAAAGTACATATGCTTTTCGCCAAGTGTTTGTACAGATTGATCTCTGGCGTTTTGTGGAAGCTCACAGAGTGCCAGTCTGTCAGATTCCTCTTTTATCTCCGCTCCATGGCCACCTCACCAGAAATAGGCAGACCAGAGAAGGGGGGCTCACAAACAATAAACTGATAATAGAGGCACGCAGAGCTGGCCCAGGGGAGGGGGCACAAAGTCTTTCCAAGACAAAAAGAGTAGACAGCAATGCAAGAGTTGAACGAATGCGAGACCCGTACCTCTAGCGTTCAACCATGCAATGCTGACAGTCATGTCTTTAATGCAATAAAACCTGTGCCCTTTTCTGAATTCAATTACATATCGTTCCAAACCTGTATGAAATTCTTTCTTCTGCTAAACACAAAGGAAGATATTATGAAGAATGACGGTAACCAAACAGTTGATGTACCTCATTGACTTCCATAGTATTTTTTTTCCAACAATAGGGTCCATCAACTGTCTGGTTACTGACATTCTTCAAAATAAATTCCTTATTCCTTTGTTCAGCAGAAGAAAGAAATTCAGGTTTGGAACCATTTGAGAATGAGTAAATTAAATAATTTTCATTTTTAGTGAACTAGTCATTTAAAGGGATAGTTCACTTTGAAATAAATTTGATATGTTTTAGCTTACCTCAAGGGCATCCAATATGTAGGTGTCTTTGTTTCCACAGTAATTTCAATTTTGATATTTTTAGGTCGAACCATTCTTGTCTGTCAGTCATATAATGCAGGTCTATGGACACCACCTCAAAGAGCATGCACAGAGAAGTCCAAATTAAACATGATTTAATGACTCGTAAATGCTTCAGTCTGTGCGTTACAAGAGGTAAAAACGATATAAATACTGTTCGTTTTCTCACACAAACCGCTCGTTTTGTGTCTTAGGCCATCAATGTATACTTACATTTACGAGTCATTAAACCATGTTTAATTTGGACTCCTCTGTGTATGCTCTTTGAGGTGGTGACCATAGACCTGCATTATATGACTGACAGACAAGAACGGTTCGACCTAAAAAGATCAAAATTGAAACTACTGCAGAAAAAAGACACCTACATCTAGGATGCCCTTGAGGTAAGCTAAAACATAGCAAAAATTTATTTAACAAACATAACTATCCCTTTAAGCAAAAACTGCTTCTATAGAATTGTCCCATCTATGGTCGTTTTTAGGGCCAAATATCAACAATTTTATTTGAGTTGAGCCACTAATCATTAACCACATACACAGCATTTATATACTAAAGTCTCTTTATTGTGAGATACAGAAGAAAAGCTAAAAAAGGACAGATAAAAATTAATCCGCATATACAGGAAAAGTTAAGAAATTTAGCTGGGGCAGGCATCACACCCAACTGTAAAATCGTTTTACTTGACAACAAAGGATTAATGCATCAGCCACAGAGATAAAAACTACTCTAAATATTAATAAAGACATCAAAGAGTGATATAAAACAAGAAATATCAAAACATAAGAGAACTATGTACAATTAGGTCAATGTAACTGTGTTCTGCATTTACATCCGGAAACGATCAGAAAAGTTTGGAGATTGTGGCACTGTGAGGGACACGTCACTCTTTTTCAGCTCTATCGGCTTGTAGCGTCTTATTGGCTGGGCCTTTCGCACCTTAAAAAAAAAAATTTGAATTCAATTAAAAATAAAGTAACTTTCAATGTCAAACTATTTTACATCAAAACACTAAGATGACTTAAACGGATAGTTCACCCAAAAATAAAAGTAGTCATCATTTACGCACCCTCAAGTTGTCCCAACCCTGTAAGAGTTGAACACATGATATTTTAAGGATTATTTGTAACCAGACGGTTGACGGTAGCCATTGACTTCCATAGTATTTTGTTTTCCTACTATGGAAGTCAATGTCTACCGTCAACTGTTTGATTACAATATCTTTTGTGTTCAACAGAAGAAAGCAACTAATTCAGGTTTGGAACAAATCTGAGGGCGAGTAAGTGGTGACAATTTTCATTTTTGGGTGAACTCTCCCTTTAAGATTTGAATTTCCAGTCCTACAGGAAAAATAATAATTCACCTGTGCTTCTGATTTAGCACAATTCATTCTCGAATCTCTTACCTGCTCCTGACGTAGCCTTGCAATCTCCTCCTTTTCCTGCTCCTCTCGTTCTCTAGACCTCTCCTCTTCCATGCGAGCCTTCAGGGACTCCTTCTCGCTCATCTCCTTTTCGTACTCTAGGCGTTCCATGGCTCTCCGCTCCGTCGCCAAATGGAAGCCCTCCGGAACTGTAGAATTAGTAGTATTGGCTTAAGAACGTGCCAAATGTGAACAAAGAGGACCAGGTGAAGCGGTCAGGTAGAGGTGAGAGCAGTGATGCAGCAGTGAAAGTTGGAAGGAAGCAAGAGTTGTTTTTGGAGTTAACTGTGCACTTCAATATCAAATCACACAGAGCCAACAAGCCCAAGGGAAGTTCAGACTGGAGACAGTACAACACTAAGTGGTAAGAACACAAAAAACATCCACCACGAACACAGCATACCTAGGATTGAACGAATCTCCTTCCTCGGAACAAATGGCTCTTTGTGCGTTACACTGTTTGGCCGTGCTTTAAAACATGCTGATTCAGCCTGACGTTTCAACTCCTCTTTCATCTGGGGAAATATTTTAAATTCAAAGTGATTTTCCACTGGTAGAACATAACATTCAGCAATGGAAGATGAGAAATGCCAAAAGAAGATCTTACCATCTGTTCCCAGCGTTCTCCCTTTGCAGTTCCTCGTTCGTCAACCATCAGCTTGAAAGGAGCAGGTTTGGTGGGCTCTGCTACCTTTTTCTCAGGGAGGTGCACTTCATGGAAGTCAGGAAGGGGTTGGGCCTTGAACTTTGGCACCTGTAAGATTTGGCGAGGCAGTGCATTTAGGCACAGTACAAATTATGAAGGTCTTTGGTGTCAAGACACTTTCAGGTCCAGATATAAAATACCTCTTCATGTCTCAGTTCCTCCAGTTTCTTCTCCTTCATGACCCTTCGTTCACGCTCACGTTCCTCAAATGAGAAAGGACACATTTCTACCTGGCTCTTGACTGGCGGTTTGGGCTGGAAGGGCAGGAAGTGGGGCACAGCAAGTGCCTTAATAGGAGCAGGAGGCTTTTCCTGGAGGTGCAAAGAAATGTGTTGAGACTCAAATATCAGTTTCATTATATTATAAATAAAGCATACATGACTAAAATGTACCTCTTCTTTTTTCTTTTCAATTCGCACACGGTTTTTAAGAGCAAACGCAGGTGATTCTGGAACGGTTGGATTTAGAACTTTCTTCTCTGGGACACCCTTTAAGAATTAAAACAAACAGAATTATAAAAATGACATTTAGCAAATCATGCTCAAGAGGGTTGAAGGAACTGTTACCAACCACAACTTCCTCCAGAATTCGTGTTGGTAGCGGTCTGGGATGGAATGTGTGGTCCTCTTTTTCCTCAGGCTTCCTACTGGCCTGCCTCTCCTGAAGGCGCTTCTCAATCTCCAGCTGGAAGCCTTCAGGCTTGGTGACTCCTTTATTAGCAGGCTTTTTGGGAACCAGAGCTCCTTCCAGAATCTTTCTGTTGAGTTCTAGAGCTTTGAACTTAAACCTGAGGGGACAGAAGGAAAATTTGGACAGGTTTACTTATGCCACATTAAAATGAAGCATTATTGAAACACAAAAGTATGTGCTAAACATCTGAGCAAAGCTTACTGCTGCAGTTTTTCTGTTTCCTCAGCCTCAATCTCCGCAGAGCTTTTCACCATAGTGGGACGATGTCGCTGGCGAGTCATTAGCTGTGGCGTTTTGGGGTGTGTGATTTTTGGCTTCTCGGTCTTCACTGGTGATGGTCCTGCAAAATAAATACAGGCAAAATTAGTCAAAAGGGGAAATTAAGGATCATATTTTAGAGGAAATAAATCAAATTATTTAAGACTGAGAATGCAATGCTAACAAATTCAAAGCCACCAGAAACAGGGTCTCACCTCTCTCCTGGCTCTGGCGACTGCGCAGGTGATAGCGGGTGGGTGTGCGTTTCTGGAACTGCTCAATCTGCTGGGCCATTGGCACGTAGGCTCCTGCCTCATCATGCTTCCGCTTGCCTCTGGAGAGGTTGAAGGGTTTGGGAATGGTTGTTCCTTTTGGAGCCTTCAACTACAGATTGACGAAAGCATTCAAATCTCTTGAAATCATCAAGCAACTTAAAAATCCAACATATCATCCAGACCCATCCTAGTGATGGCACTCACAGGGGAAGATGGGTGCTTGCGGAGTTGAGAGGTGAAGTTTATCTCCCTGTACGAGTTGTCATCTGCAGCGCCTCCATCCGTGTGGTTCTTCAGCCTGCTATCAGAGCGGAAGTTGAACTCTTTGGGAATAGTGGTGGACAGCACTTGCTTCTTAAGAGGCTGACCTTTAAGAAGATACCAGAACAACAAATTAAAAAAAAAAAACATGCAAAATGAAAAAGGCAGTATTTCACTACAAATAGCAGATGTTTTAAGTTCAGCAAGTTACTCACTTCCTGCCAGTGCAGCCCTGTAGCTGGCCTCGTTCTTACGACGGTGTTCTGCCACCTCTTTCTGCAGAGCCTCGATGCGCTCCAGCTCCTGCTGCTCTGTGCTTTTCTGTCTGAAGTTCAAAGACAATGTATATAGTTTTAACTATTTACTTTAAAAAAAAACATCAGAAAATATTAAACTTTTAGATTTTATACATCAATTTGACAAGACATTAAAGTGAGTTCCAGTTCCTTACCAATAAAATAACTCAATGTACAAAACTGTATAACCGATTTATTCCTGTGATGGCAAAGCTGAATATTCAGCAGCCATTAATCCAGTGTCAAATGATCCTTCAGAAATCCTCAAGAAACATCTTATTGTAAATGTTGAAAACTGTTGTGCTGCTTAAAGGGCACCTATTATGGAAAATTCACTTTTACATGGCGTTTGAACAAATGTGTGTTGGCAGTGTGTGTACACAACCACCCTATAGTGCTAAAAATCCACCCAGTGCTTTAAAAAAAATATATATATAAATCACAAGCACTGTCTCAGAACAAGCTGTTCTCAGATTCAGGGCAATGTGACGTTACTTTTGCACAAGCCCCGCCCGAAACTTTTGACTGACACTACAGTTTTAGCGTAGACCATCCCCGAGGGAGCTGTACAGTCCGCCATTGTTTC